CCCGGGGGCCCAGGGACAGAGCAGGAAAGGCCCCGTGGTCCCATGGTTAGGTCCCTTGAAGCAGATTGAGAGGGAGGCCTCAGAGCCACATAGACCTCAGTATTACAGGTGAGGAAACTGAGGCCCAGAGAGAAAGGTCACGCAGCCAGGAGGGTGCAAAGCCGAGGGCTTGTCTTCCAGCTCCACCATCTTCCCACTCCCGTGAGGCCTCCCTTCCTTATCCTAACCCTGTTACTAATTAGCTTAGTTAATTAGAGGAAGTCATTTCCATTTCCGGGGGTATCCACCACTCCCCATCTGCAGAATGGGCAGGTTGGTATAAAGGATGCCTGAAATCTCTCTGAAGCTGCTATGGTGGGACCAGGTGGGAGCCTGAGGAATATGGCAGGCCGTTCTGCTCAGGGCAGCGTCCGGAGTGGCTCTTCAGGTCGGCTGATGGAGGCAGGGGGCAGCCCTTCACACACCAGGACTCCATGGGCAGGTGTCCAGGGGGGAAGGCCCTTCCTTGCTCTGGCTGGAGGCCCCATCTGGCTATCCTAGAACCTCAGTGGGTGTCCTGGCCCCTAGGCCTGCTCCCCTCCTAATCCCTGGCTAGGAAAGAACTAGGGAAGAAGGCAGAGGCAGAGGGTCTCAGGACTGTAGCCGGCAGCTCGTGACTCCTTAATCAGCTAAGCTGGCCTGGAGGTGGCCCCGGAGCCTCGGAGGGCTCAGCTGGGGCCACTGGCATTCCATACATGCCTTACCTTTGGGCAGCTCTGGAGGTGGGGGTTTGGATTCAGGCTGGGGCGGCAGGATCAGGGCCCTGGAGGGTGGACAGGCTCGGAAAGACCTGCCGACATTTCTATAGTGTTTTTAGATTACTGACTACTTCACGCACCTCCTTGGTTGGGCCTCCCCTCCCGGTCATCTCTCTGAGGGCAGTACTGCAAGTGTGGGTTAAGGATGAGGAAACTGAGGCACAGAGCACTCCCATAGCTTGGGACATTTCAGGTGATAGAGATCCCGGAATCCTAGACCAGAGCTGCAAGGGCCCTCGTGTTACAGATGGGGAAACTGAGGTCTCAAATGGCCTTCCCATTCTCCTGACTTGTTCCCTGCTGACTAAGTGCGTCCTTTTGGAGACAGGTCACGATGAGCGAGGGAGGGTTGGCTAAGGAGGAGGAGAAGACAAGATTGGGGGAGAGAGAGGAGAGATGGGAGCCGGCGTGAGAGTGAGGGGCAAGGAGGGACAGAGAGGCAGGTGTCGATGCCCAGAGTTAAGAAGAGTACCCAGTGCCATCCTGAAATAACAGAGTGAAGAACTGGGCCTGGGATCTCCCACATCAGGAAACACCCCTCACCAGTGCTGATCAGCACCTTCCCAGCTAGAACACCCAGGTCACCCAGCCAGGGAGGGTCAGAGGCGGGGCTTGAACCCCCGACTTTCATCCCAGCTCTCTGCAGGGTCACACACAGCACTCTGCCTCTCTGAAGGGAGGCAGAAAGATTGGGCTCCAGGAGTGGCCATGAGAGCTGAGGCTGGGGGTGGAGGGCCGGGGTGAGTCTGTAGGCTGTGCATGTGGGGGTGGGTGGCTGGGACCCTGCCCGCCGGCCTCTCCCTCGACTGCCCAGCCTGCCTGACGCACCATTGGCGTCAGAACTGTTATCGCTTCAGCCTCTCTCCTGGGAAGGTGACCTCAGGGAGGGAGAGGGGCTGGCCCCTCCTTCCTTCCCTCCCCTGCCTGGCATCTCAGCACAGGGCTGGGAGGGCCCTGGGTTGGGCAGATATTTCCTCTGGGTAGGGCCTGATGAGTCTCCCCCTCAGTGGGCAGGGGCAGGGAGAGCTTTTGGCAGGATCTGATGGGGCCCAGGCCCCAGAGAGGGTCTGGAACAAGGGAGCTCCGAAGTCCTCTGCTACCCACCCCCATTTCACAGATGAGGAAACTAGAGCCCCCAAAAAGGAAGGATCTGGGTAACATCACACAAGTAGTGAGGCTCCAAGCTAAGGTCAAATGCTTGCTCACCCAGTGGATGGACAGATGGATGGATGGATGGATGGATGGAATGGTTTGTCTGCAGACAGTGGTGATGTGGGAGACAGGGATGAACTTGGGATCTGGAAAATCTGGGTTTGACTGTCACCTCCAACGCTTATCATCTGTGGGAAGGTCAGTCCTTCGGTATTTATTAAGTGTCTACTATGTGCCAGGCACCGTGGAAGGGCCAGGGATAAAAAGAAAAGCAAGGACAGTTCCTGCCCTCAGGGAGCTCTCGGTCTAATGGGGAATGACATTCGTAAGGCAGAACATACAAGGGAAATACAGAGTAGATGGAAGAGCCCCTTCAGGGGGACGGTACCAGCAGCTGAGGAGAGGGGAGTAGGAAATATTTCCTGAAGGAGATGGTGCTTGGCCAGGGATTGATTCTGAGAGGAGGAGGTGGGGAGGGAGAGCATTCCAGGCAGGGGGCACAGCCAGTGCAAAGACACCAAGGTGGGAGAGTATTGTGTGAGAAGAATGGGCTAGGTCCTGCAGGGCGTTGAATGTCAAGCAAAGAACTTTATGGTTCATCCTGGGGGTAATAGGGGGCCACTGAAGTTTACTGGGAGGTGGGGGGAGACATGATCAGACCAGCATTTTAGGGAGATCCCTTTTTAGTGGCTGAATGGACATTGGATTGGAGGGGGAGAAACTAGAGGCAGGCCCCAAAGCAGCTGCTGCAGTAGTACAGGCAGGAGGTGATGAAGGCCTGCACCAGGGCAGGGGGTCCATGTCAGAAGAGACAAGGGGAGATACATACACGTGCAGATGTCTGAGATGTTCTAGAAAAAGGAATGACAAACTCTGGCAATTGATCAGGTGTGTGAGGTGATCAAGAGACAGGAATCCAGGATGGTGGGGAGGAAGCTTTTAAGTCCCTCAGTTTTCCCATCTGTAAAATGGGTATAACAACAGTCTACAGAGTTGCTGTGAGGTTCAATATGAGACAGTTGTGTCGAGCAAACTTTAAATGGCGCTGCAAATGTCAGGAGGGCGTCTCCTCCCCAGGGGTTGTAAGCAGAGGTTATACGAGCATTCTTTGAGCCTCTGTGAAAGGGGTTTCTTGGGCTTATTGGTCCGTCCATCTCTGAGATTCTCCAAATCTGGAAGAGGAAGCCATGGACCTGGAGTCCACAGAGCCTCCGGGTTCCGGTTCAAACCGTTCCACTTTTGAGCTGAGTGGCCTTAAGCAAGTTGTCATCTCTGTCTGAACCTCAGTTTCCTTTTCTGTAAAATGAGAATTGTACAGCCTGGTCGTGAGGAAAGTGATCAGTCATTGAGCATTTATTAAGCACCTACTGTGTGTGAGACCTGGAACCTACCAAAACAAAATCAGGCCCTTCTCCCAAGGAGCTAACACTCTGTTGGAAGTGGGACAACAGCTACCCTCGGGAATGGATACAAATATGTAGACGAAGTAAATACACAGTAATCTGGGGAGGAAGCCTAGCGGTAGGGGATTCGCCAGGGCCAACATGGAGGGGGGGAGATGGGAGCGCCATGTTGGCTGGGCCGGAGAGCGTGTGAAAGGAGGCAATGTGTTGGGAGATGGGAGGGAGGGGAGGGAGAGGAGGAGGGCTCTCAGGGCCCCCTGGATCTTGGAGGTATTAGGGAGCCTCTGGAGTTTATTTAGCAGAGGAGTGACACAGTCAGGGCTGTACATGGAAACCACTTTGGCAGCTGAGAGGAAGAGGGATTGAAGTGGGGAGGCCAGTTGGAAAACGTCTTAGAGCAGCGCAGCTCATGACGGCTGTGTGAGCGAAGAGGAGGGGGCTAGGGGAGAGGTGTAGCCGAGATTCAGCACGGCACACAGTAGGCGTCTAATAAGTGCTCGTTGACTCGGCTTGACGGTATTTGGCATCTGGTCAGATTGTGGGTCAAGTGAGAATGAAGAGGAGAGAATGACCCCGAGACTGTGACCCGGGTCATGGGAATCATGGCGGCGCCTGGGATGAAGAGAGAGAAAGGGAATGTTGAGCTGGAGATGCTGGCAGGATGTCCTGATGGAAACACCCAGTGGGCCGTGGGGGATGGAGGGCTGGGGTTCAGCACAGAAACAGGGGCTGCTTATATGGACCGGGGCGGGGAAAGGTGGTGGGAAAGGAAGGTGATGTAAAAATCAAAAGACAGCAGTAGAAATATCAGAGGTGGGGGCAGCTAGGTGGCGCAGTGGATAGAGCACCAGCTCTGGAGTCAGGAGGACCTGAGTTCAAATCCGGCCTCAGACACATAACACTCACTAGCTCTGTGTCTCTGGGCAAGTCACTTAACCCCAAATGCCTCACCAAAAAAGAGAGAGAGAGAGAGAGAGAGAGAGAGAGAGAGAGAGAGAGAGAGAGAGAGAGAGAGAGAGAGAGAGAGAGAGAGAGAGAGAGAGAGAGAAAGAGAGAGAGAGGAGAAAAAGAAGAGAGAGAGAGAGCACAAGAGAGAGAAAGAGAGAGGAGAGAGAGAGAGAGAGAGAGAGAGAGAGAGAGAGAGAGAGAGAGAGAGAGAGAGAGAGAGAGAGAGAGAGAGATCAAAGGAAGAGAGGGGATGGTACATAGTAGAAAGACACTGCTGGGAGCCCAGAGGGGCATCTGGGAGGTAAGACATCCCAGGCTGGCGCTGAGCGTCCATCCTGCCCAGGCCGTATCAACTAAAGGGCTTGATCCATTTATTCATAAGAGTTGAGCGCTGGGAGAGATCTAGCCCCGCATGCCCCAGCCCACATCCACAAAGAATCCCCACCATAGCGTACCACAAATGGTCCTCTCTGCTGACAGAGAGGCAGCAACCCTACCCCATCAGCAAGCGTGGGTTATTCTGTAGACTTTGATTAAGAGCTGACTGCATGCTTCAGGCACTGTGCTTGGGAGTGGGATGGGGGCCACTTAGGGATTCCCCAGGCTCGGTGGTCTGCAGGGAGGGAGTGGGGAGGGGCCGACCCTGTCCAGATGTGTTCCTGTGTTAACCTCTGTCCTTTCTTATATCTCCTTCCCCCAGGCCATGACATCAATGGGGCCCTCGAGCCTTCTAACATAGACACAAGCATCCTAGAGGAATATATCAGCAAAGAGGACTCTTCAGACATGTAAGTCCTGTCCTACCCCCCTCCCTCCCTGCAGGGGCTCCTATGGCCGATCTCTTGGGGAATGGGGCAGGAGAGGGGGCAGTCCCTGGGCAGCTAGGCAGCGCAGTGGATAGAGCAACGGCCTTGGAATCAGGAGGACCCGAATTCAAGTCTGGCCTCAGACACTTGACACTTATTAGCTGTGTGACCTTGGGCAAGTCACTTAACCCTAATTGCCTCACCAGAAAAGAAGAAAAAAATGAGAGGGGACAGTCCCCTGGCTGATAGTCTGGGGTTGGAGGCCCATGGAAATCACTGCTTGGCTCAGCCTTGGTTTGCTCATTTGTAAAATGGGATTAATCATCGTTGTACTGCCTTCTTCATGAAAGGGTTGGGAAGAAGGTGCCTATGAGCCTTAGAAGTCTGGAGAGATGAGAATTGTGAATTCCTGAGTCGGGGGCTGATCCAGTCTGACCAGCTTTGATTAAGTGCCTACTGTGGGCCGGGCTGTGGGACCCCGAGACAAAATGCAAAATCCCTGGCCTTGAGAAGCTTGCATTCTACTGGGGAGTGGGAATGACAGATGAAAAATCAATGCAAAATATACACAAAGTACATTTGTCATAATTTGAGGGGCTGGAAGGGGGCCCTGAGGAAAGGCCCCCCCATAGCAGCTGAGCCTTGAAGGAAGCTAGAGACTCCAAGAGACAGAAGGGGAAAAGGAGGACATTCGGGGCTGTGCAAAGGCCTGGAGGTGGGAGAAGGGATATTGTATATGGGGGACTTCATTTGGTAACTGCCCACTGCCCGCAGAGTACTGGCCAGGGACAAACCTCTCTCGGCCTCAGTTTCCTCCTCTGCAAAATTCAGGTCATAATAGTACTTGCCCCCAGAGGTGTGCGGATGGGAGGGTCAGATAAGATCCTGTATACAGGAGATGCTTTGCAGGGGTGTGTGTGTGTGTATGTGTGTGTGTGTGTGTGTGTGTGTGTGTGTGTGTGCGCGCGCGCATGTGTGTGTTTGTGTGCATGTGTGTGCGTGTCAGTGCATGTGTGCAGTGCATGTGTGTCTGTGTGTACGCATGTGTGTCTGTGTGTGTCTATGTGTGTGCGTGTGTGTACATGTGTGTACATGTGTGTCTGTGTGTGTCTGTGTGTGCATGTGTGTGCTTGTGTCTGTGTGTGCGTGTTTGTCTGTGTGCATGCACGTGTGTGTCTATGTGTGCATGTGTGTTTGTGTCTGCGCATGTGTGTGTTTGTGTGCATGCACGGGTCTGTGTGTGCACATGCACGCATGTGTTTGTGTGTACGCGCACATGTGTGTTTGTGTGTGTCTGTGTTTGTGTGTGCACGCGTGTGTTTGTGTGTGCGTGCACGTGTGTGTGTGTCTGTGTGTGCATGTGTCTGTGTGCGTGCACGTGTGTTTGTGTGTGCGCACGTTTGTGTGTGCGTGCAAGTGTATGTTTGTGTGTGCATGCACATGTGCGTGTGTCTGTGTCTGTGTGCGTGTGTGTCTGTGTGTGCGTGTGTGTTTGTGTCTGCGTACACGGGTCTGTGTGTGCACATGCACGTATGTGTTTGTGTGTGCGTGCACATGTGTGTTTGTGTGTGCGTGTGTGTCTGTGTGTGCGTGTGCATGTGTGCGTGCACGTGTGTTTGTGTGTGCGCGCATATGTGTGTACGTGCATGTGTGTGTTTGTGTGTGCATGCACGTGTGTGTGTGTGTCTGTGTCTGTGTGTGTGCGCGTGCTTGCAGCACTACGTAAATATTAACTGTTCATATCACCGTTAGGGGCTAGATAGTTCCCAGGTGATGGGTTGTTCATAATAATTATTATCATCATTGCTTTTATTAAACTATGTCAGAAGACAAAGATGAAATAGCGTTTTAACACAGTGATCCGCACACAGTAAACATTTAATAAATGTTTGTTGACCGACTCGTGGAACAGTCACTGACCTCAAGGAGGTTATGTGACTTGGAGGGCAGGAAGGACTATGTTAAAGAAATACAAAGTGATTGGAGTATTGGAGGAAATCAGGGAAGGCTTCCCTGGAGAGGTGGCACCTGGGTGTGGCCTCTAGGAGAGGCGAGGGGGCCTGGAGTCAGGAAGTCGTCTTCCTGAGACCATATCTGGGCTCAGACACTTAACTAGCTAGGTGACCCTGGGCAAGTCACTTAACCCTGTCTGCCTCAGTTTCCTCATCTGCAAAACAGGCTGAAGAAGGAATTGGCAAACCACTCCAGTATCTTTGCCAACAGAACCCCAGATGGGGCCATGAAGAGTGGGACAGGACTGAAAGGACCCCAGAGGTGTGGTGGGGGGAGACCTGCCAGGCACCTAGGACACCCTGGGCAGATTGGGGGAACAGCTACCTGGCTGGACGCGGGCCCTTGACGGGGCGGAGGAAGGCTGGTGAATTCGGAAAGGCCTGGGGGAGCCGGATCCTGAGCCCCCCCCCGCCCGGCTGGGCAGTCTGGGATTTCTCCAGGAGCGGCAGAGAATGCCTCCGCATGCCGGCTCTGCGGCTCTCCTCAGCCTCAGTTTGCTGTGGGGATGGTCGTCACGGAACCTCCTTCTTCACGTGGTTCTTGTTAGGGAAAGTCCTTTATAAACCTGGAACCCCTAGGGGAGCACAGCTTTATAGAATGCCTGCTACACGCCAGGCAGGCCCTGTGCTGGGCCGTTTTTAAACAAACACTACTTCAGTTGAACCTCCCGGCGATCCTGGGAGGCAGGCGCGGTTATCACCCCCATTTTACAGCTGAGGCAACAGAGGTGAAGTGTCTTCCCCGGGGTCACACAGCTAGTAAGTATCTGAGGCTGGATGCGAACTCAGGCCTTCCTGACTCCAGGCCCTGCACTCTATCTACTGCACCACCAGCATGCCCTTCTCTCCGGAGACGGGAGATAGTCTCCATCCGCAGCAGAGATCTCTTGGCAGCATTAACAAATAGGAGCGTTCTGGGTTCTAGAGTTGGCAGGACCTAATGAGGCCCGGGGAGTGACCAGAGTGTGAGAAGAAGGCGCCACACGGTTGGCTTTCTGAGGCAAAGGACCTCCTGGAGCCGAGGGCCCGGGTTCAGGTTCTAGAAAGGTCCCATTTTACAGATGAGCAGTCTGAAGCTCCACCAGAGGGGAAGTGACTTTACCAAGGTCACAAGTGCAGAGCTGGGTCTTAAGCAGCAAAGTTTCTCTTTTGGAAAGGCCATCTCGCTCTCCTCTGGGCCTTAGTTTGCTCACCTGTGAATGGGGTGGGGTCCCTTCCAGCTCTAAACCACTGACCCTCTGTGGCCTGGTAGGCCCGGGCATGCAGAAGTTAGCCTTGCTGTGTCCGTGGAGGATGGGGGGCCGGGGCCCAGTTGGGAGGGGAGGGAGGCCTGTAGTAGAGCAGGGGTCGCGAGAGAACAGAGACCAGGGGGAGAGATGGGGTGGGAGCCACTGTCCAGGTTGGCACCTGATTGGATGAGAGGGAAGTCTAGTGGGAGGTAGCAGGGCAGGCCTGGAGGTCCAGAGGGCGAGCAGGGCTGGACTTGTAGAAGGGGACCAGCTGCAGAGAGAGAGAGAGCAAAGCGCTATTGCTCCGTGGTCCACGAACTACTCAACCAGCATTTACGAAGTATGTGCGCAGCACTGGACTGGGGGGGCCAGGGAAAAGCAGAAACCGAGGGCCGACCCCCAAGGAGCTGACCTTTGAAAAGTTGAGAGACCACAGGTACATAAATAGAGGCGAGAGCCAAACAGAGGGGAAGAAGCGGGGAGGGAAGGCTGCAGAGGCATCCCCTGCAAGATGGTGCCTGAGTGGAGGCCTTACGGGAGCCAGGGATCGGAAGAGGAAGAGACCAGGACCCAGAGCAGGAAGCAGGTTCTCCATTTCAGTCCATCCTTGAAATTGTCAAGGAAAAGGGGAGCCAGGCTGCGGTCCTTGGGAAGGCCTTCGGTGGCAGCTCACAGCCCAGCCCGGAGAGTTTACGCTTACACTGCGTCCCCAGGCTGGTGTAATGGAAGTAGCTCTAGCCTTGGGCTCAGCCCTGGACCTGATATCTCCTAGCTGCATGAGAGTGGGCAGCCTCACTTTGCTTTTCTGTAAAATGGGAGTAGAGTCATTTTTGCTGCCCCTGCCTGACCGGAGTCTGGGTCATAGCACAGAGATGCAGAGTTAGAAGGGACCTCAAAGGTCACCTGGTCCGACCTTATTTAGCAGAGGAGGAGACTGAGGCCCAGAGAGGGTCAGTGTCTTACCTAAGGCCACACAGGTTGTAGGAGGCATGGTCCTGATTAGAACTCGGGGCCTCCGACTCAGACTCTAACCCTAATTAGACTGCATCAGGCTGAGAACTTAATAAACTTAAAAGTTCCATATAAAAGTCTTTAATATTAATATTGTTATTATTATTATTATCAATTACCATAGCCAGCATTCTTTAAGGTTTGCAAAGCACCAGTGGTGGGTTACCTCCCTTGACCTTCACAACCACCGTGGGAGCTGGGGGCCCTATTACTCCCATTTTACAGACCAGGAGTCTTGAGTCAGAGGTGAGGTTCTGAGACTCGGCCAGGTCCCACAGCTGGCCTGTATCTGAGCAGGACTAGAACCCGGGTCTCCCTGGCTCCCAGCCCGTGCTCCATCCACGAGCCTGGGGGTTGGCGCCTTGGGCTCCAGCTGCAGTCCCTGCCTGAACCCTCTGCTTTTGCCCACAGCTGCTTCCCCGATATACCTGCTCCTGCCGGCTACCCACACGCCCAGCCCTCTGGCTCCAGCGGTGGCCATCACCTGAGCCCGCCAGGGGGTGGGGGAGGACCCCCCTCAGGCCGCCACGGCCCCCTCCCACCCCCGCCCTGCGGGCCCGGCTTCAGTGCCCACCTCAACGTCAACAACAACAACGGTCTGGCGGTGCCCAAAGGCTTTGCGGGGCACTGTCTGAGCGGGGGCTCGGGGCCACCTATCAAATCGGAGCCCAAGGCAGCCTATGCCCCAGGGTGAGTGAGGACGAGGCTGGGCCGGGGGCAGCCCCGGGGGGCAGCCTCGGCTGAGGGCACTCCCAGGGGGTCAGGGGGTGAGAGGCGGCTGCGTCTGGACACTGGCCACGCGGCCGGGTCTGCGCTGGGAGTGGGTAGGAGGGAAGGCCCCCCGCTCCCCGCCCTGTGAAATGAGGAGGTTGGGTTAGCTCAGGTTAGGTGAGCCCGGAGGAGGGAGCAGCTGACCAGGGTCAGAAGCGCTGCCCCCCACTCCCCACCCCCACCCTGATCACGGCAGCCTCACAGACACCCCGGGGAGCATACACGTGCGGATGCTGTGAAGTACCTGCGTGTCCCTGGCACGTCACTGCCCTTCTCGGGGACTCAAACAGAAGCTGGACTCTAACATTCTGTATTCTAGGCTCCAGCCCTGCCGTCCTGTGTTCTGAGTCACCTCCCAAATCTGACATTCTGCCTCTGTGTTCTAAGGTTCTGAGGTCCCTCTCACCTCTGACATTCCGTGTTCTTTGGCCCCTCCTAGCTCCAGAGAATTGGGTTTGGGTTCAGGGGGCCTACGCCCTCCTCTGAGGAGGAGAAGACCCTTGAGCAGTGCCCCCACCTCCCCTTGGCAGGACCAGCGATTCGGGTCCCCAGTATCTGGAGGGTGGGTCAGACTCTTGTGCTTGGCCCCGAGGGCAGAATCTGGAGCCAGGGAGGGAAGCTGCAGACAGACAGACAGACTCCGTGTCGGGAGACCTGGCCCAGAGAGGAGGGTGGTCTTCCTCCTGCGAGGGGCTCGATGATGGGCTGGGGGACCCTGGCGCTCAGGTGCTGTGCCTCTGGATTTATGTCACAGCTCTGCCACCAGTGACTTACCTGTAGAGCATGGTCATGTCCTCGTGACCTCACTAGCATTTATATGGAGCTTAAAGGGTTATAACGTTATCTCATTTGATCTCTACAACAGCTCTGGGAGGTGGGTGCCGTTATGACCCCCATTTTACAGGTGAGGAAACTGAGGCAGGCAGAGGTTAAATGACTTGCCCAGGGTCACACAGCCAGTTAGTGTCTGAGGCTGGATTTGAACTCAGCTCTTCCTGACTCCAGGCCCAGTGCCCTGTGCACTGTGGCACCCCCTGCCTGCCTGTTGACCTTTTAACCTTTTCGAGCTTTGGTTTCCTGCTCTCCAAAATGAGGGGATTGGCCTTGCCCCACTCCCAGGCTAGGACCCCGATCTCTTAGAACTCTGGGGCGTGAGGTCCTTTTCACTCTTAAATCCTGAGATTCTCTGGTCTGCATCTGCACTCATGGCCTACGACTTCATCCAGGGGTGTGGCATCTCCATATGCGCACACACACGCACACACTTCTCGGTGCCCACCAGACAGCACCAGCAGCCCCGCGGGAGCGTGCCTGGTGCCAGGGTGGGCCATAGGTCTCTTGGCTTCATTCTTGGGGTTGGGTTCGGGCTCCTGGGTCCTGTCTCTAGGAAGGCCAGCTTCCCAATTGTAGCCGAGCCGTCCTCGAGCCTCAGCACGGCCTCCTGGTTCCGGCTGGGTCCCACTTAGCACCTGGGAAGGCCATTGTCTAAAGGCATGGCGCCATGTTGTCCACAGGCTCAAAGTTGCAATTGGAAACCCAACAGAAAGAATGATGTGGGGCCTTGAAACCGCGTCATAGAGGAATCCATTGACGAAAGAAACATGGCAGTCCCCGGGAGCAGAGGGTGGAAGTGGCAGGGGCCAACGTGGGGCAGAAGGAAGCCGTCCCACAGTCTAATGGGCAGCCTTGGGGAGGAGGGGGTCTTTCCTTCTTTGAGGTCTTCAAGTAGAAGTCCCGGGAGGCTGTGGCGAGGGTCTTTCCCAAGCGTGAGTAGGAGGGCCTTTGAGGTCCTTCCCAGCTAGGAGACGCCCCTGGCCCAAATCATGGTGGACCGGACATCCTGGCTTCTCCGGGAGTGTGGACCGGAGCCGGAGACAGGCCAGAGTGGTGCAGTTATAGTGACGATGGGGTGAGGGAACGGGGACACACCGAAGACCTTTCAGGAAGAATGAGCGTGAAGGGAGGTGCTTAGACTCTGTCAAATCTATGGGCCAAACATACTGATTGATCCTGTCCTGGCCGAGGGGCCGGCCTCTCATTGACACTCGAGAGAGGTCAGTTTAAGGAAGAGCGTGTCGGGCTTGGTGTCAGAGAATCTGGATTCGAATCCAGACCGGCTCATCCTTAGTGGGGAAGCTCTGGACTCTTGTTCTCCTAGCCTCAGTTTACTTCTCTGTCAAATCAGGGACTCCTGCCTAGCCCTGAAGCTGTGATCGCCAAAGGGTCCTGCGTCGCCTAATGTTCCAGACTTGGTCGTCTCCCTCCTTCCGATGGGAGCTCCTTGGGAATGGGGCTGGCTTCTGGTTCTTTCTGTATCGCTAGAGCTTTGCACACAGTAAGCGCTCAATAAATGCTCTTTTGATTCTTTCGTAGAGAATGTATGCAACTCATTCCATTCAGCAGGCATCTATTAAACGCCTGTTGTGTGCCAGGCCCTACGGGATTTGTTGTACGCTTTCAGTCATGTCCGACTCTTCGTGACCCAACTTGGGGTTTTTTGGGCAAAGATCTTGGGAGGGTTTGCCATCCCCTTCTCCAGTGCGATGCAGAGGCACCTTGGAGACAGTCCAGCCCCTGGAGACTTTCACCTGCAGCCCCCCCTGCCTTTGAGAAGCTCCTCATCGTGCTGGGGTCCCCACCCCCTCCCCTCATCCCCTCCCCTTCCCCTCTTTTTCAGGTTCTGCTCATCATTTTCCTTCCTTCTCTCCCCGCTTCCTTATAAAGTGATTTTCCTGACGTGACGGGTCACTCCCCTACTCCCCAGACTCAAACGGAAAGCCCTTTGTTGGAACAGAGAGCTCTTCACGGCCCAGCCCCCTCCCCCCAGTCTGTGACCATTGGCAATCCATCAGGAAGCATTTATTAATCGCCGACTGTGTGCCAGGCTACAAAACCCAGAGTAGGCAAGTAGGAGCTGGCAGGCGGCCATCATTTGGATTCCTTCCTCTCCTCTCCACCCGGGCGGGGGCGTCTGCTGATTGACCACAGAGATGTCCAAAGGGGGCAGAATCGAGAGTCAGAAGGGTCCTCCCTCGAGAGGCCGTTCAGCCCATCCCTTACCTGACCAGGGAATCCTTCTGTGATGTCTTCTTCGAGGGGTCGTCTAGTCAAATACCTCCAGTGATGGGGAACTCACTACCTCTGAAGGCGCCTCGCTCCTCTTTTGGACATCCCGGGGTTAGATAAAGCCGTGGATGACGGAGCCTTAATGCGTTATGAAGGGAACCGGGGGACATGGGGGAGGAGACCCCGCCCAGTCACCCTCACCAGGGACTGCCCCGATCTGGCCCCGTTATTGAGTGCCTACTGTGTGAGGGACGCTGGGCTAGGTCCAGTTTGTGCCCTTCTGTCCTTGCTTAAAGTCCTCTGGCAGTCCTCCCCTGCGTAGATGCTCTAGCCTGGCAGTGATGTAAAGAGGCGGCATCGCCCAAGGGCATCTGGCTACGCCTGCTGAAATAACTAGGCCTTAAGGTTTGCCAGGCACTACACAAACATCATCTCGTGTGGGCTTCCCTGCAACCCTCCCGTTTTGTCGATGGGAACGCTGTGGCCTACAAGGGTCACACAGCTAGTGTGTGTCCGAGAAAGGGTTTGCGCTCAAGTCTTCCTGACGCCAGGTCCAGCCCACTGCAGAGGCCAGTGGGGTTAGAGCTCGATTCTAGGACTGGGCTGAGTTGACAAGCCCCCGGGGCTCTGTCGGTGGTAGCCCCCGTGAGGAATTTAGGGAGCGTGTGTCTCGTGAGAGCCGCCTTGGGCCACGTCACAGGCCAGCTTGAGGAGACTGGGCTGGCCGAGCTCTCGTCCCGGGCCATCCGCTGGCCTTCATCGGTCAGAGGGGAGCCTAGGGGAGAAGCGTGTGGAGGCCCTCTCCCATGCTAGATTTCTCCCGGAGGCACTTCCTGTGTTAGAGGCTCCCCTGCGGGGCCCTGCAGCCCCTCTCCTCCTGGCTCCGTGCTTCCGGGATGGAGGTGCTTCCTTCTTCTGGGGAGGGAGGCCGGCAGGCCAGGCCCTGGTCTTTGGTGCGGCTCAAGCCCCGTTGGGCGTCGGGCAGTGAGGTGACGTGGGGACAGGCTCCGGCCGCTGTCCTGGGAAGGGCCCCGGAGCCGGGGCGGGGGGACGCCTTCCTCCCCCAGCACGCACGAGGTCCCTTCCTGACCACGACCAACGTTCAGGTCTAGAAGCTCAGCTGTGGGGAACATCTTTCCCCCCTGCCTGCCCCCTCTCTCTGCCCCTTCTGAGGGCCCCGAGTCTCCAGCTGGCATGGGAAGGGAGGCTGCTGGCCATGGCAAGAGGGAATCGCCCCCACCCAGGACCTGTGCCCTGGGCATGTCATTGACCGGCCCTCCCGCTGTTCCAGGAGGGGTTTGCTGGGTACATCATGACCTTTCTGGTTCACGGTTTCCCTCTGCCTAAGCCACTGATAAAAAAGAACCCTCCTTTCCTCTCCCCTTCCCCCAGGAGCTGGACGTCCAGCCACCTGGGCACCACACCTGCCCCTCCCTCTCCTCGCCCAGATCCCTCCCCCTCCTGGCCCAGGGCAGAGCAGAAGGCACTGCCCCCTTCGGCTTTTTGCAGAAATGGGGGAGCTGGGGTGAGGCTGTCTCTGGAAAGTCTGCTGTGGTTCTGCCTTATGGGAGGGTGGGGAGGCAGGAATTCAAGGCTGGCTCGGGCTGGGCTCGGGGGAGGGTTGGCCCAGGCTGCAGAGCCTTCTGTCCATCCGTCCACACTGCTGAGAGTCCTGAGAGGCCCCGGGCTCTGGGCTGGCATCCAGAGGAGTGAGCTGGAGAACCTTCCCCCTGCTCCTGTACCCCCAGATCTCTTTCCTAATGGTCCCTGAGGTCCCCTGGCCCCTCATCCCTGAGACAGAAGCTCTTTCCTCCCGTGGAGAAGTCAAACCAAGTCAACGTGCGTTTATTGAGCACCTACTGTGTGCCAGGCACTGTACCAACACTGGGGATACAAAGAAAGGCAAAGACAGTGCCTGCCCTCAAGAAGCTTCCGTTCTCATGATGGAGACAGAATGTAAATAATTAAATAGATCCGAGTTGTACACAGAGTAGATGGAAGGCCATCTGAAAGGGAGAAAGGCAACCTCAGCCTGGTCTCCCTGGCTGGGGCCACGGCACCTTGAGGGTTCCAGGGAGCAGACAGCTCTGCTTGGGGCCTGTCCGGCAGGCTTCTGGTCAGCGGGTGCACTGCCTACGGTTTGTGTGAATTTGAGCCTCGGTTTCCTCACCTGTACAACGGGGAGAGGGGAGGCTCCTTCTGGCCCAGAGCCTTGGGAAGCTCAGAAGGAGGAGAGCTTTGATGCAGCTCCCGGGGAGGGGGGCAGCAGGCTCCCTGTGCCCACGAGGGGCCAGGTGGGCACAGGTAAGCCTGAGTGCCGTGGGCCTCTGTTTCTCTGCAGCGCTCTGCCCGATTCCCCTCCAGACTCCGGCTCTGAGGCCTATTCCCCCCAGCAGGTGAACGGTGAGTGCAGCGGGCACCTCCCTCCCCCTCCGGCTTTTGGGAAAGTGGTTGGAACTGCGTTATCGGGGTGTGGGGGAGGCGGGGGAGGGAGGCAGCCTCCCTGAACGTGGGGAGATTATCGCTGGGCAAACACTACCTGACTTTTACCTATTGTTGAGGCAGAGGGGTGGGGGTGGGGGGCGCCCGGGTTGGCAGGCGGGTGGGGAGCCGCGTTCAGCTCCGGCCCCAGAGGCTGCCTCTGCCTCCCCGAGATGCGGCCGGCCTCTCCGGGCCGCATCGCACTCGCCCTTCGGCGGTAAGTGTGGGCCCGCCTGACGCGGGGGTGGGGCACAGGGCCGGGGGTGCCCATCCTGGGTGGCTCTGGTGGCCGGAGCCTGGATGGGCTGTTCCCATCCTTTGCCCCTTCTTGGAATGGGGAACCACCCACTGATTGTGGGGAGGGGGTGGTTTGTGTCTGGTGGGGGGCCTCCAGACCCTGGCAGCGCCCTGACCCACGGCTTGGGGAGTGCAGCTGAGAGAGGGGTCAAGAGTTCTGTTTATCTTACCAGAAACATGCCTGGAATTCCTCTGGGGGGAACACAGGGAGCTGCCCCCTCCCCACCATGGCCCCTCCACCCCAGGGGAAGGGGGAAGGGGGAGGGTCTGCCTTCTCCAGGGCAGCTGAGCTGCTCGCAGCAGAGCCCGGGGGCTCCCCTTGGCGCTGCTTACGGGCCTCGTCCCTCTGACCCTCCAGGCGTGAGCAGGCCTGCTGCCTGCTCTGAAGGCGTCCCCTTGCCTGTGTCCTGGGGGGCCAAAGCCAGACCTCCCCTCTCCTTTGCTGGCTCAGGGGGCCTGCCTTGCCTTCAGCCACATGGGACAGGCCGGGTTCTCCCTGGCACAGTGGTGGTGGTACGACCCACGGGAGGGTGGCCTCCTTGGCTGTTGGCCCATTGGGCCTCCTGCCTTCCCTGGTGGCTTGTGCACCTGGCTAGGTGTGAGGGTGGAAGAGAGGAGAGATTGGGCTGAGCAGCCGCTTTATTGGGGTGCGGATGGGTGCCCTCTCAGGGACTCACTGTCCCGGCTTCCTCTTTTCTCCCAGCCCCCAGCTCTGTGCGTCCTATACACCTGGGGCCTGGGCCAAGAATTCAGGGGCCTCGGGGGGGTGGGGGGTCGGGACACTGAGGGAGCTGAGAAGGAGACTGAAGCCGGTGAGGAGCAGCCAAGCTCCTTCTCTCTAACCACCCCCTTCCCGCTCTCTCCCTCTCCTGAAGACCCTCACCTCTTGCGAACGATGACCCCCGAGAACATGTGCCACGTCAGCATCCCCTCCCGCCTGGAGCACCCTCCCCCTCCGCCTCCCGCCACCCACCTGGCGGGCCCTCCCCCTCCCACCACTCACCTGGCCGGCCCTCCCCCTCCCACCACTCACCTGGCCGGGCCTCCCCTGCCTCCCCCGCCCCACTACCCTGCCCTGCAGCGGGATCTGTACATGAAGGCAGAGCCTCTCATGCCCCCCTATGCCATGGGGCAGGGCGTGGCCCCCGGAGACCTGCACCATGCCCAGCAGTCACAGATGCTTCACCAGCTGCTGCAGCAGCATGGCACTGAGTAAGCACCCTGCCCTCCTCCCCCTCCCCCGGACTGCAGAACAGGCCTCCTTAAGGCTTTGCTGGCTGATAGCAGGGCCTGGGGCGCAGCGAGGTGGCTGACTTTGCCCCTTGGCTAGGGCTGTTAGGCAGGGGGAGGTGCCGGGAAGGAGGGTCAAGGGAGAGAGGGAGAATTCATAAGCTGCTACTTAGAGAGCCGAGATGTCAGCTGGTCTGACCTCAGTTTACAGAGGTAGAAACTGAGGCAGGCGTGTGGGAGAGGGGTGTCAGACCTCAGCTGGAAGGCACCTCAAAGTCAAGCGAGCAAGGGTCCGGGACCACATTTGGGTCATGGATCCCACCGATGTTTTAGTGAAACCTGTGGACCCTTTTCAGAATAAATACCAAGACAGTTTTATAAAGACGCAAAATAAAATACATAGGGTTACAGAAGTTGCCAGTTATATTGAACTATGTATCTTAAAATATATTTTAAAAAAATTTACAGACACCAGGTTAAGAACCCCTGATTTAGTCTGAGTTCATTTTACAGATGAGGAAACTGAGGCAGTCATGTATCACATGGCTGCAGAGAGTGAGTCAGTCATGCTGTGTGAAGCTATAGGGGAGAGGAGTATAATTCATGGGCTTGTAGACCACGGGACTTTGGCCATCATTCAGTCTGATCTCATTTTACAGAAAAGGAAACTGAGGCAGAGAGAAGGGAGGGAACTTGTCTGCCTTCTCACCCAGGCCCCAGGGTGTGCTGCTCTTCCTGGATCCTGCCAAGCCTCCTCTCTCTGACAATTCAGTTCCATTCAACAAACATCTTTTTAGCTGTAGCTCTGGGCAGGGCACAGAGGCCTATTGGGAGAGAGAGAAGCTTAAGATGCTGGACCACCGCCCCCCTTCCCCTCTATGGAGCTTACAGCCAGTAGGAGGAAGGCACATAAACACAGATGACTCTGGTAGAGGGTCCCACGTTAAAAAACAAAAAAAACAAAAACTGAGAAAAGGGGCAGCTAGGTAGTGGATAGAGCCTTGGAGTCAGGAGGACCTGAGTTCAAATGCAGCCTCAGACTCTTACTCTGGGCAAGTCACTTAACCCCCATTGCCTCCAAAATTAAAAAAAAAAAAGAGGGTCCCACCCCATGTTAGGTGCGTTAGAAAAGAGCATTAGAGGTGGCCTGTGAGTAGATGGGAGGAAATGTATCAGGCAGTGTTGGGAAGGAAGGCATCCCAGTCATGGGCAAAGGTTTGGAGGCAGGAGATCATGGGGGTAGAGTAGCTTAGCCAGGCAGCAGGAAGTGTGATGCCTTGGTAGCGAGCTGGGTGTGTAAACAGGGGGTGAGGGGCTCCTCATGCCAGGGGGCAGGGTGCCCACCCCCAGCAGCTCAGGGTCCCCTTTCTGCCAGGCTCCCTGCACACCCTTCCAAGAAGAGGAAACACTCCGAGTCACCCCCCAACACCCTCAACACCCAGATGCTCAACGGGATGATAAAACAGGAGCCAGGTACGGTGGCATCCCTGCCCCTCCATCCTGCCAGAGCCCCAACGCCACCCTGGCATCAGCAAGGTCCCCTCTCGCCAGGACCGGGATCCCTCCCCCTCAGCATTGCCAGAGTCCAGACACCACCCTGGCATCCACAGGGGGCACCTTCACCAGGTATGCCACCCCTCCTCCCCAGCCTAGGCCCCCAGTGGCACCTGTTGGCGGGATAGCGTGGGAGGGGGAGGCAGAGATGCCCACTGGGGTGGGCGGAGGGATTGGGGCAAAGAGGGCAGATGGGCGGGGCACGCCCAAGTTGGGAGAGGGAAGGAAGCAGCCCAGCTTCTTGGGCTCGACAGGGCTGGGCTGGCATAGGACCGTTGGCTGCCCCCTCCTCTTGCAGGCCTCATGCAGGACACTGAGAGCCTGAACGGCTCCTACCTGGATCCCAATTACCAGTCTATTAAGTGGCAGCCACACCAGCAGAACAAGTGGGCCTCACTCTATGATGCCAGTTACAAGGAGCTGTGAGTGACGGGGCCTGGGGATGGGGGGCTGAGTCTGGGGGCATCTGGGGCTGGTAGGGCCCTGAGGCTAGGGCTGGGGGGGCTGGGGGAGGCCCTGGGGCTGGGGGGGCCTGGGGCTGGGGTGCTAAGTCTGGGGGGCATCTGGGGCTGATGGGGCCCTGAGACTAGAGCGGGGGGGGGCTGGGGAGGCCCTGGGGCTGGGGGGACCTAGGGCTGGGGGGACTGAGGAGGCCCTGAAGTTAGGGCTGGGGGGGCTGGGGAGGCCGGGGGGGCTGAGTCTGGGGGGGATCTTGGGCTGGTATGGCCCTGAAGCTAGGGCTGGGGGGGACCTGGGGCTGGGGGGCCCTGAAGCTAGGGCTGGGGAGGCCGGGGGGGGGACTGAGTCTGGGGGGGCCCTGAAGCTGGGGCTGGGAGGGGCCTGGGGCAAGGGGGCCCTGGGGCTGGCGCTGGGGGGGCCTGGGGCTAGAGGACTCCCTTCCTTCCTCCCTGAGGCCCTGGGGAGCCTCTGTCCCACCTCCAGAGAAGGACAGTTCAGGGAAGGAAGAGGTGGGGGAGGAGGAAGAGGAAGGAGAGGTCTGCTGGCCAGGGGAGGCAGGCTCAGGCGGGTGGATGTTTTGGGCAGAGGTGATGGGCTCACTTCCTGCATTCCAGAAAAGTGACAGGCAGTTGGCTAGAGAGGGCTGGGGAGGGGTCTTCCAGGAACCCACAGATCTCCCTGCACTGCCCTGCCTCTGCCTTCCAAGCATCAGAGCCAGGAGTGGGGTGCAGGAGGCTTGTCCAGGCCCCTCCTAAGGACCTGCAGGGCCATCCCCCCACTTGAACTGGCCCCAAGGGCAGTTTGGCACTGGCCTGGCGGGGGGCTTCCCATCTCCGGGAATGAAAGGATGGTGGCAGAGCTCCCAAGTGCTGGGCCTGGGTGTTGGGACCCCTGGGAACTTTCCCAGCCTGCCTTGGGAGTTTGTCCCACAGGACCCCACCTCAGAGATGATGGCTGAGTCCTGGGAGGGGTGGGGGCTGTCACTCAGAGATGTCCAGGGAGACGTGGCCTCCGTGTGAGCAGCTCAGCCGGGGCTGAGGGGACAGAGGAGGCCCCCAGAAGCCTGGCCTTGCAGAGCTCTCCCCAGCCCCTGGGGCCTCAAGGCCTAGTCCAGACCCCTTCTTTTACTGGCGAGGAAACTGAGGCCCAGGGCCTCCAGTGACTCACCCAAAGTGAGGCGCAGAACCAGGATTTGAACCCAGTTCCTCTGGCTCTGATACCTCAGAACCACACAGCCTCTTAGTTCCTATCAGGCCTTGTTCTCCCTGACCTCATCCCTCTGGCCAGCACTAAGCTGATGGAGGCCCCTAAAGCCCAAGTCAGTCATGGAACATCATCTGTGTGGGCTGCTTGGGAGGAGGAGGGGGAGGAGGAGGGGGAGGAGGAGGAGGAGAAGGAGGAGGAAGAGGAAGACGAAGAGGAGGAGGGAGGAGGAGGAAGAGGAGAGGGAGGAGGGGGAGGGGGAGGAAGAGGAAGAAGAGGAGGGAGGAGGAGGAAGAGGAGGAGGAGAAGGAGGAGGAAGAGGAAGAAGAAGAGGAGGAGGGAGGAGGAGGAAGAGGAGAGGGAGGAGGGGGGGGGAGGAAGAGGAAGAAGAAGAGGAGGGAGGAGGAGGAAGAGGAGAGGGAGGAGGTGGGGAAGAGGAGGAGGAGGAAGGGGAGGAAGAGGAAGAAGAGGAGGGAGGAGGAGGAAGAGGAGAGGGAGGGGGAGGGGGAGGAAGAAGAGGAGGAGGGAGGAGGAGGAAGAGGAGAGGGAGGAGGGGGAGGGGGAGGAAGAGGAGAGGGAGGAGGAGGAGGAAGAGGAGGAGGAAGGGGAGGAAGAGGAAGAAGAGGAGGGAGGAGGGGGAAGAGGAGGAAGAGGAGGGAGGAGGAAGAGGAAGAAGAAGAGGAGGAGGGAGGAGGAGGAGGGGGAAGAGGAGGGAAAGGAAGAGAAGAGGGGGAGGAAGAGGAGGAAGGGGGGGTGGAGGCAGCGTAGTAAAGCCAACACACTTCCCAGCTAGAGATTAACCAGATCCCAGGAGCCCCAGTCTGCTCCCTCCTCCTTTCCCCTTCTTCTTCCTCCCACTCCTCCTCTTCTTCTTCCCCCCTTTTCCTCTTCTTCCTCCTCCCCTCTTCCTCCTCTTCCTCCTCCTCTTCCTCCTCCCCTCTTCCTCCTCCCCTCTTCCTCCTCCTCTTCCTCCTCCTCCTCCCCTCTTCCTCCTCCTCCTCTTTCTCTTCCCCTCCCCTTCCTCCCCCTCCCCCTCTTCCTTCCTCTCCTTCCTCCTCCCCCTTCCCCCTCCTCTTCCTCTTCCCCCTCCTCCCCTCTTCCACCCTTCCCCCTCCTCTTCCCCCTCCCCCTCCTCCCCCTCCTCCTCTCGTCCCTTCCAATCAGAGCACTGTGTTGTCCCTCGGTCCTGGGGTCCAGGGTCTGTTGCAGAGCTCCTGAGGCCCGGGTCAGGGAGAGGGGGGATAGAGAGCAGCAGTGCGGGGCCCACTAGTGGAGCGATGGGGGCAGCGCAGGGCCGGGCCGCCTCCCAGTCCCTCTCTCTCTGTCCTCGCGCCCTGGGAGGGGGTGGGCGTATAGGTCCGTCCTCTGGTGACCAGGGAAGTCGGGGTGTCACGTGCTCGTAGCATCTAGGTCTGGGAAGTTAGAGGTCAGCTGATACAAGCCCCTTGTTTCTCGGGGGCCAGGGTGGGTCTCAAGGGCAGTGATCCGTCCAGGACCACACAGCCGGGAAGAGGTCGAGGTCTTTCCGTGCCGTGCCCACTGAGCCGACCGCCCAAGTCCCCGAGCCGAGATCAGAGCAGGGCTCCCGCCCCCCAACCCTGCTGCCTTCTGTGCTGGAGAGGCGGAGGAGGGGAAGCAGCACAGCGGGAGGCCGGGGGGGGTGGGCAGGTGGTGCAGGCTGTGCCTGGCCCCTCGAGAGTCTCCAGCTTAGGGATTCTCCCCAAGGTGCCGTGGGACGGGCAGGGGCCGGAGCGGGGAACCGGGGCCTGTTGGCCCGCTAGCCACTGCATAGTTTCAGCGTCTCCAAGGCGACGGGGCTGTCAGCCAGAGATGAGGCTCCCCAGATGGCGGTTCTCCCAAGGCCCAGGCCCCTGCATGCCTCATCCTCTCCCAGGAAGTGGGGGGGGGGGGCTCCAGCTGGTTCTGATTTGCCGGGGAAGCTGGTGGGGTGGAGGGGCGATTTAGGGCCTCCTGCCTCCCCTCACCTCCCCCAGCCCTCCTGGCGCTTTCCCCAGGTCACTTCCTGAGTCCCTGGCCAGGATGAAGTGACCCTCTAGGCTGCACCAAGACGGGCCGACTTCAGCAGTACCAGCCTGAGCGTCGCAGGCTCCCTGCCCGACTGCCTAGAAAGTAGAGAGAGTCCTCTGGCCTGGGAGCCGGGAGATGCCCGGCCTTGAACTGCCGTTCTCATTCTCGCTAGCTGTGTGGCCCACTCTGAGCCTCAGCATCTTCATCTTTAAAACGGGGCTGATCCTGGTCTCACAGGATTATCATGTGTTCCTTACGTGTCCATGAACCTTGAAGGTGAAAAGCGTTGCCTGTTGGAGTCAGAGGCTTAGACCTTGTTCAGTCATTTCGGGTGTGTCTGACTCTCCGTGACCCTATTGGGGGGTTTTCTTGGCAGAGATACTGGAGTGGTTTGCCGTTTCCTTCTCCTGCTCATTTTACAGATGAGGAAACTGAGGCAAACAGGGTGAAGTGACTTGGCCAGGGTCACGCTGCTAGGAAGTGTCTGAGGTTGGATTTGAACTCGGGAAGTCTAGATCCAGCACCCTGTACACTGTGGTGCCTGGGTTTGGAGGGCCTGGGTTCAAATCCCACATCTGACACTTTTACCAGAGGTAAAACCCCGGGGGCCCAGGCGGAGAGTAGAAGGTGCATGTGTCTGTGGTCAGTGGGCCGGCCTTGCTAAGGCGCCGACCTTGGGGTCAGGGCTGAGGAATCTTTGAGCCCCGTTTACTGTTCTGTGAAAGGGCTGAGATCTGAGTCAGTAACGGGGGAAGAAGACCCTTGAACACCGAGGGCAGTCACAGCATCTCCAAGAATTCAGTTCAGGCCCTAGGGGATACAACCACAATAAGACTAGCGCTGCCCTCAGGAAGCTTACACTCTTCTAAGGGGATAGACTGAGGAAGGTGGCCGCTGCAGCGCAATGGGGCAGACAGCTGTGCGCTGACAAGCTCTGTGCGACATGAGACACCCTGAGGGAAGGCGCTAGCCTTCAGAGGGGCCGGGAAAGGCTTCTGAGATGAGGAGGGGGAGAATTCCAGGCGTGGGGCCCAGCCGGAGTAGGGCACATGCCCAGAGTCTGGAGATGAGGGTCTCGAGCAAGAAGCAGAAAAGGGGGGGGGTCTCCATTCTCCAAGCCTCAGTTTCCTCCTCTCCCTTCTAACCCCGAGTCCCAGGCGCCCGACTGATGGTCTGGGAGGGGCCCCGCCCTGAGCACACCCCCGCCTTTGTCCCCCGCCTGCAGGCCCATGCTCACTTACCGGGTGGATGCCGACAAGGGCTTCAATTTCTCCGTGGGCGACGACGCCTTCGTGTGTCAGAAGAAGAACCACTTCCAGGTGACGGTGTACATCGGCATGCTCGGGGAGCCCAAGTACGTCAAGACCCCCGAGGGTCTGAAGCCCCTGGACTGCTTCTACCTGAAGCTGCACGGAGTGAAGGCAGGTTTGGGGGGGGGGGCTACGCTCAGCGGGGGGCCGTTGGCCGGCATCCAGTCCGGCTCCCCCTGCTAGGCCTCAGTCTCCCTGGCTGTAAAATAAAGGGACGTGATGCTGCAAGGTTGGCCGAGCGCTTTAGAAGGATCTTCCCATTGCATCCTCACAGCAATCTGTTATTCTCCCCATTTTACAGATGGGGAAACTGAGGCCGAGAGAATGGCAGCGCCCAAAGTTGCGTGCATAATAAGTAGCAGAATTTGTCTGTGACTTCAGATCACCCACTCTTGCTTCCTGTTTTATTTCAAATTTGCTGATGCCCATGCCTTTTATATTGATTTAATTTTAGAACATGAAGGTCTGCCTATGTAAGAGTGTGGATGGGGTGGTGGGAGACGTGCTAGGCTTGGAGTCTGGAGATCCAGAGACTGTCTTTGACATTTATTACTTGCATGACCTTGGGCAGGTCACTTCGCCTCAGTTTCCTCATCTGTCAAGGCATAATAACACTGTGGCTTAGTGGATAGGGCACTGGGCTTGGCGTCAGGAAGACCTAAATTTGAATTGTGCCTCAGATTCTTATGGTGTAACTCTGGGCGAGTCACTTAACTTCTCAGCCTCAGTTTCCCCATTGGTAAAATGAAGGCTCATAATTGCTCCTCCCTCCCAGGGTTCCGTGTGTCATAAGGTAACACATGTCAAGTGCTTTGCAAACGCAGCTACGTGTGAAGCGCCATCATGACCTTACAGGGCTATTTTAAGGAAAACAGATTTCAAAACATAAGGGGATGTTGAAGTGGGGACATAAGTAATCCAGCACCCAAAGTGCCCTCCTTGAACCCGAAGTCTCTCTCTCTCTCCCCCCAGCTGGAGGCCTTGAATCAGTCCATCAACATTGAGCAGTCCCAGTCTGACCGGAGCAAGCGGCCTTTCAATCCCGTCACGTGAGTCTGAACCCCCCTAGGAGGGGAAAAGCTGGGGGTCGGGGCAGGAGCAGACCCTCCACGCTGGAAGGGCCCTGAAAGACGCTCCAATGCAGGCCATACTCGAGTAGAAATGCCCTCCCTCATGTCCCACCGAGTCATCACCCAGGCTCCCCTTACAGACCTCGGATGAGGAATCCTCTTGCTTCTAAGGCTGGCCCTTCCGCTCTGGCTTCTGTCTCTATCCCCTGGGGCCAAACAAAATAAACGTAAACCTTTTTCCCCACCGATAACCCTTTGGACACTGAAGATTCACTCCCAGGCATTTTAGTGAATTTTGTGAGATTTCTCGTGAGATTTCACTGTCATTCCCACTTGGCTTCTGTTATCGTTATATAGAAATGCTGATGCTGTTTGTGAATTTATTGTGCATCCTGATGCATTATTGGGACTGCTGTTTTAGGTAGTATCTTTGCTGATTCTCTGGGGTTTTCTGGGTAAACCGTCATGTCTGCAAACAGGGATGCTTTTGTCTCCTCTTTGGTGACACACGTGCCTTTCAGTTTTTTCCTTTACTGTTATTGACACTAAGTCTAGAAGTAACTAATGAGAAGGTGGACAAGGGGCTCTTGCCTAAGCCTGCCCCTTCCCACATTTCTCAGTGTGTCCCCCCAGCCCTTCGCCCATGGTCCCCCACCCCCAGAGTAAGGACGCGTCTTCTGAGTGCTTGGAATCAGTGACCGTTTGAGAACCGGCTCATCTTCTGGGCCGAGAACAACATTAATGGGGCGTTGTTAGCCAGCATCCCAAGGGGGCAGCGGAGGGGAAGCCCCCAGGCACGGCCTCTCTATCCCGGGTCCCCAGCCTTGCCTGAGCCGTCCCATCCCCCGCAGGGTCACGCTGCCTCCAGAGCAGGTCACCAAGGTGACGGTGGGCCGCCTGCACTTCAGCGAGACCACGGCCAACAATATGCGCAAAAAAGGCAAACCCAACCCGGACCAGAGGTGAGCCGGGCCGGGCTGCAGCCGCGGCGGGGGGAGCGGGCACGGGGCCACGGATGGGGATAGGCACGGAGGACGCTGATCCCCTGATGTGGACTTCAGGTACTTCATGCTGGTGGTAGCGCTGCAGGCTCACGCCCAGAACCAGACATATACGCTGGCAGCCCAGATTTCAGAGCGCATAATCGTCAGGGTAAGAGAAGCCTTGCCCCGTGGCACAGGGAGCGGCCCTCATTCCCCAGCCTCACTGTGGGATGCCCTCTGGGGTCGTGTGGAGGACCGCAGAATCAGTTTAGAGGCATAGAGCGTCAGAGCAGAGAGGGACCTTAAAAGAAAGAAGGTCAGGGCTGGGTTGGACTTCAGAGCATGGGGTGTGGGAGCAGGGGGAGAGCTTAGAACACAGAACATGGAATGTCGGTGTGAGGAAGGATCTTAGAACATGGAATATTGGAGCTGGGGGAGAGCTTAGAATACAGAACTTGGAATGTCAGTGCGAGGAAGGATCTTAGAACATGGAATATTGGAGCTGGGGGAGAGCTTAGAACATAGAACGTAGAATGTCAGTGTGAGGAAGGATCTTAGCACATGAATTATTAGAGCTCAGAGGGATCTTAAAGCTTGGAATATCAGAGCTAGGAAGGATCTTAGAACATGGAATGGCAGAGCTGGGAAGGACCTTAGAACAGGGAATGTCAGAGCTGGGAGGGACCTTAGAGCACAGAGTGTCTGAGCTGGGAAGGACCCAAGAACAGAGAATGTCAGAGCTGGGAGGGGTCTTAGAACAAAGAATGTCAGAGTTGGGAAGAACCTTACACCGTGGAATGGCAGAGCTGGGAAGAACCTTAGAGCACACAATGTCAGAGCTGGGAAGGATCTTAGAACATGGAATGTCAGAGCCAGAGGGGATCATCTAGTCTAAATGCCTCATTTTACAGAGCTGAAATCTGAGGTCCAGAGAAGCTTCTTCCTTCATTCTCTGGAGACAAAATTTGAATTCTTTAAGAGGAAATCTTGTTTTAGAGAGTGAAGGCAAAATTAAAAAAAAAATCCCAGATCTCAGAGGTAGACGAGGTTCTCAAGCACACGCCTGTGATCCTGTATGTCTGGTCTGGCCCACGTCCCAGAGCCCCCATTCTCCGCAGCCCGGACCTCTGTGGATGGCCGGCCCCAGAAAGCCCTCCACACTTGGGTGTGAGCTCGGCCGGGGCCGGCCTTCCTGCAGGGCCTGCTGTTTGGGTGGCTGGCCCCTTCCTTATCACGTTGACGCCAGCCTGCCGTGCTGGCACTTCGCAGACTCCGACCGGGGGACCCGGCCTGGCCTCTTCTCCACTGCATGAGGAAGTCCCTGCTCTATTGGAGGCCGCTCTGGCTCTCCTCCCTAAGAACCCTTCCCTCCCTCCTCCCTCGCCTCAAGCCTGTGTTTCTCTGGCTTGGTGAGTTGGCTCAGCATTGGCAGGCAGCATTTACTGAGCACCTACTGTATACCAGATGCTGAGCTCGGTGCTGGAGACACAAAGAGAGGCAGAAACACAGGAACAGGCCCTGCCCCAAAGGGGCTCAAGTTCTAATGGGGGAGGCAGTGGGCAATTAACTCGAAGCACCCGTGCAGAGGAAAGGGCCTGGGACAGCGGCTCAGGGTATCCCGTTAGGTACAGAGGAGGAAAACCAGGAGAGGGAGGAAGTGTCAGAGGCAGAGGATGAGGACAGAGGAGAGGCTGCCAGGGAGGGGGCATTGGGAGCTTGGCGGCTTGGGAGAGAGAAGGTTCCATGAAGGGATAAGGGAGGGGCAACGAGCCGTTTGGAGGGGAGTGGGCTGCGGGGTGGTGGGCTCGGGGGGGTCCTTCTAGAATGGAGGAGACTTGGATGTGGTTGGAAGATGAGAGCGAAGGGGACAGTGGTAGAGAGGAGGGGAGGCAGAGGGGTTGGCCTTGGTCAGAAGGGAGGGGCTGGAGGGAGACTTGGGCACAGTGAAGAGGCTCGTCCCCTCCCACCCCCAGGCCTCCAACCCCGGCCAGTTTGAGAGCGACAGTGACGTCCTGTGGCAGCGGGCCCAGCTGCCCGACACCGTCTTCCACCACGGCCGTGTGGGCATCAACACGGACCGGCCCGACGAGGCTCTGGTCGTCCACGGCAACGTGAAGGTGATGGGCTCCCTCATGCACCCTTCAGACATTCGGGCCAAGGAGCACGTGCAGGAGGTGAGACCCTGGGCGAGGTCCATCCGGGTGCCTCGGGCTGTGGCTGTTCCTGGGCCTGGCCGGTGGGGGTCTCAGACAGGCCCGTGCTCCTCCCTCCAGGTGGACACCACTGAGCAGCTGAAGAGGATTTCCCGGATGCGGCTGGTCCACTACAGCTACAAGCCCGAGTTTGCAGCCAGCGTGGGCATCGAGGCCTCCCCTGAGACTGGTATGGAGCTGGCCTGGCCTGGCCTGGCCTGCGATAGGGCCGGGGCTGGGGGGAAGAAGCGTTCCTGGTGCTTCCGCTCACTGCCGGCGTGACCGTGGGCACACTAGAAGCCTCAGTTTACCCATGTCAAATGAGAGGGTTGGTCTAGACCGCTGCTGAGGGCTTTTCTAGCTTAAGCCCCGGAGTCTGTGTGACCTCGGGCAGATCACCTGTCTGGGCCTCAGTTTCCTTTTCTGTGAAATGGCCTCAGAGGACCCTTCCAGCTCAGGATCTCTGCTCCTGTCCTCAGGCCCTCCCTCCCGTTTCCTGTCGGTCTCCCCACTGCACCAGAAGCCCTCATCACCAATATTATCCCGTGAGATGGGGGTAGAGCACTCAGCCAGCTCCCTCCCCCGCTCCCAGCTCACGCCCCTCTGGATTCTCCCTTGTGCAGGGGTCATTGCCCAGGAGGTGAAAGAAATCCTCCCAGAGGCCGTGAAGGACACTGGAGATGTGGTCTTTGCCAACGGGAAAACCATCGAGAACTTCCTGGTGGTGAACAAGGTCAGAGGGGGCCTGGGCTGGGGGAGGGGGAGGGAGCTGGCTGTCACCTGGGCATGGCTTAAATAGCAGCTGGCTTCCTGGGAGTGGGCATGGGCCTGGCGCAGCTCCCGCAGGCATTGCAGGTGATCCTGGGCCCAGCCGGGTCCTCTGGGGTCAGTGGATCAAGAAGTGTGCCCTGAGGACCAAGGAAAGGAATGAGAGACTTTAAAGGGGCCCAGAATGCAGAAAAGTCAGAGCTAGGAGGGACCTTGGAACATAGAATGTCAGAGCTGGGAGGGAAATTAGATCATGGAACGTGAGAACTGCGAGGAACTTAGAACGTGGAATGTCAGAGCTGGGAGGGGCCTTAGAATGTAGAACTTTGAATGTCAGAACTGGAGGACACCTTAGAATAGGGGGACGTGGAGATCACATGGTGGCCAACCCCCTCGTTTTACAGATGAGGAAACTGAGGCACAGAGGTTAGGTGAGTTGACCGGTCGTTGACAGAGCTGTGCTTTGAGCCCTCCTGGGTCGGCCCCCACGAGGCGGGGCGTTCAGGGATGAGCCCTGGCCAGGGCGAGCACCCGCTTCCCCGATGTGCATGGGTTTCTGTGTGTCTCTGGGCAGGAGCGGATCTTCATGGAGAACGTGGGGGCCGTGAAAGAGCTCTGCAAGCTGACGGACAACCTGGAGACGCGCATCGATGAGCTGGAGCGCTGGAGCCACAAGCTGGCCAAGCTGCGCCGGCTAGACAGCATGAAGTCCACAGGCAGCTCTGGGGCCTTCAGGTGGGCCTCTGAGGGGCAGTGCCGGGGCTGGGGGGTGGGGAGGCTGGGCATGTCCTCGTCCGGCTCCTTCTGACCCAGCCCCTCTCGCCACAGCCAAGCAGACAGCCATTTCAGCCGAGCTGGGAGCGTCCCTCACAAGAAGCGTCCCCCTAAGATGACCAGCAAGGTGAAGGGCCTGGGAGGGGGGATCGGGGGTCCCCCACGCCCCCCACCTCGGGGCACCCTGCTCTGGAATCCTCATCTCTCTGGGTCTCTGGGTCTTTCCCCTCCAGTCGCCCTCCGTGGTGCCAGACCAGGCCTGCATCAGCCAGCGCTTCCTGCAGGGAACCATCATCGCCCTGGTGGTGGTCATGGCCTTCAGGTGACTGCTGAGGGCAACGGCGGGGTGTTCTGGGATGGACGGTGTCCGGCACTGGCCGCTGGCCCTGATCTGGGGGGGAGGGCCTGACTTTGATCCGGCGTCCCGGAGTTTCTGAGGGCGGCTGCACCCCCAGGTGGCTGCCCGGCCCGGGCCACGCTGTCCTCCCTGGCGGACGTTGTCCTCTGATCGCGGCCTTAGCTGGCCCGGGGGTCCGGGCGGGGGATGGGTACAAAGGGACGGGGGTCTTGGATTCCTGCTTTGGGAGGGGAGGACTGGCTGGGGGGAGGAGCCCGCCGCTGATGGCTCTGTCTCTGATGGCCAGCGTGGTATCCATGTCTACACTGTATGTGCTGAGTCTTCGGAATGAGGAAGATCTAGTGAACGTGGATGGGTAGGTCCCCTTGGGGCCCGAAGCCGTTCTCAATAGGTCCTTGATCCCTAAGCTGGTAACCTGGGGGGCAGGTGGAGAGGGATGGTAGGCTGATGGGCATGTGGGGGAGGGAAAGCCTGCGTGGGTGGTGGGCCCCCAGTCCAGCTTGCTGAAGGAAGCTTACAAAGCCGGGGGGAGGGGTGGAGGAGGGGGCGTGTAGGGGCAGCTTCGCAGAAGGGACCGTGTGGGTTGGGGGGCTCAGGGGGCCACAGCCAGCCTTTCCTTGGCAAATCTCTTAGGGGGAGTATCCCTGATGAGGGGGGGAGGGCAGCCCTGGGCTCCATTCTGTCTCTGGCCCTCCCCCCCCCCCGGCCTCCTTTGGGCCCGGCCCTGGGGGCCGGGGGGAGAGGGTGTCTCTGACTCTTCTCTCCCTAGCCCTTCTTGGGGACCTTTGCCGATGTGTGTCTCCTGTTTCTCCTCCTCCTCGGCCTACCTCCCCTTCCCCCTCCACTCGTCCTTAGCTCTTTCGCTGTGTCTACTTCCTGTCTTCTGGCCCTCCTCCGGCCCCGGGACCCCGGGGGGAGTGTGGCCCTGTGTCCATGGTACGTGCCCATCCCTGCCTTGGTGGTATCCCCCCGGCCCTGGCATGCCGGGCACCCCTTCATCCATCTTCTCCCTCTGTCCTCCCGCCCCTGTTTCCCACCCCCTTCTTTTCCTCTCCAGCCCAGCTAGGGCGAAGCTCTGGATTCAGATCCTGACTCTGCCCCACCCCCCACTTCCCCCTTCCGCTATCAAGTCAGAGAGTTGAATTCGGAGCCTCAAAGGTCCCTTCCAGGCTGGATGTCTCTGGCCCCCTGCTGCTGTCTCATCACCCCTTGACCTCTGCTGTTTTCCCTGATCTCCCCTAACTTGGTCTGTCCCGTCTTTTCTCTCTCTTACTGCCATTGGGCATTCAAGCTCAGCCCCTGTGTTCCCATGGCAGGTCGAGTCAGAGCTACGGTACCACTCAACTCCGCCAGTCCCCGGCCTCCAGCAGCCCGCCGGGCCCCCAGCCCTCCTCCCAGCCCGGTGCGTTCCCCCACCCCGCGGGAGAGACTTCAGGGGCCAGGGACCAGGTTAACGTGGGGGCTAGACAGCTGAGTGCCTGGCGCCGGGAAGACTCGAGTTCGGATCCAGCCTCGGTCTGGTCACTGAACCGCTGCCTGCCTCAGTTTCCTCATCTGTAAACATGGGGATCATAATAGCACCTGCCTGCCAGGGTTGTTGTAAGAGACAAAATGCCTGGCACGCAGTAGGTGCTCTATAAATGTTTATTGAATGAATGAGGTGAGATTATATTTGTAAGTGCTTAGCACAGTGCCTGGCACACAGTAGGTGCTCTATAAATGTTTATTGAATGAATGGAGTGAGATATTTGTAAGTGCTTAGCACAGGCCTGGCACACAGTAGGTGCTCTATAAGTGTTAGCTGGTATTATCACCACTCTGGTGCCTCAGCCTGACCCGTCTCGCGTCTGTCCTACCTCCTCTCACAGCTGCCGCTGGCCTGCCAGACACTGCCCCCGCCCTTGCTGTCCGTCACTTGGACCTGTGCCTCAGTCCGCCCTGTCCCATCGTGTGCTGCTCCCTGCCCACCCCGAGCCCCTCCTCTGGCCAGAGCCCTGCCCCCAGTCCCACTGCCAACCGCTCAGGTATGGCTGGAAATGGGGGAGGGGCAGGGGGAGGAGGACAGGGCCGACCCGTCCCTTCCTGGTGCCCTCAGCCCACCTTCTCCCTCTCCACAGGCCCAAGCCAGACCTCGCTGCTGCCGGTCACCAGCATCAGAGCCAAGTCTTGGGGCCTTTCAGCCAACGGGATCGCCCACGTCAAGCCCCCCAAGAGCCTGGAGCCCCCCGCCAGCCCCTCGGCCCCCTTCACTGGCGTGCAGGGCAAGGCCAAGAACAGCCCCAACCTGTCGATCCCTGCCCGTGCCCGCCGCGGGGCCCCCCTGCTCAGCCCTGCCACACCCCCACCGGCCGGCTCCGACGGCCCGCTGGGTAAGGATGCAGGCTGGCGCGTCCCTTGGTCAAGTGAGCTGACCGCCTGTTTTCCTTCCCTCTCATCCCTCGTTTCAGTGATGGGAGGGATCCTCAGCTGGCCTTCGAACCCCAGGAAGCGGGGGGGGGGGGGGGGAGGAGGGGCCGAGAGCCTGGCAGCCCTGCCCCTGGCCGGTTGCCTGAGGCCGGCCCTGGCCCTTCCTGCTCTGTCCCTGCAGGAGCACGGCCTGCCCTGAGCTCCATCCAGGTCCTGGAGAACTCTCTGCCCATCACATCCCAGTACTGTGCTCCAGGTGATGCCTGCAGGTGAGCAGAGGGCCTCTCTGAGGGAGGGGCAGACCGCCTGAGGCCCCCCAGAGGGATGGCCATCCCAGACTGGGAAGAGGAGTGGGGTGAGCGGGGATAGTGCACCAGCCAACATTTGTCCTTCCTGCAGGCCAGGGAACTTCACCTACCGCATCCCCATCAGCAGCAACACCCCCCTCCACCTCAGCCTGACCCTGCAGATGAAGTAGGTTCTGGGGGTCCGGGGAGGGGGAGGAACAGAAGGATGGAGGGGGAGGGGGAGGGGCAGGCCGCTGCCCATCAGGCCGGGGTTCGACCTCCCCTCCTGCTCCCACTGTCTTCCTAGCTCCAGCTCCCCTGTCTCGGTGACATTCTGCAGTCTGGTGTCTCAGGAGAACCCGTGTGAGGAGGGCAGCTTCCCCCGCAGCCTCCAGGTCCACAGTGACACCCAGGTAGGGGCCGGCCCCAGGGACCCCCTGAGCAGAGGGGGCTCGGGCAGGGCTGGGGGAGGCCTGGGAAGCGAGATGGAGAGCGTGGCCATCCCTGCAGTACTGAGGAGGAACTCAGTCATTCGGTCCCTCGGCAAAGCAGGCAAGCATTCTGAAACACCTACTGTGTGTCGGGCATTGGGCCCAGCCAGAGGGAGACAGAGGCAAAGAGGAAGCAGTCCCTGCCCTCAAGAAATTCCATTTTATAGGAGGAGAAAGCAGGAGATTGATTGAACAGGTGGAGGGGAAGTGAGAGCGTTTGCCAAGCAAGGGACACAGCCTAGGCAAAGACTTGGAGGTGGGAGGTGGGGTCTGTGTGTCAGAATGGCTTGATGAATGAATGAATGAGTGAGTGAATGAATGAATGAACGAGCACTTACTACGTGAAGAACCCTGGGCCAAGCCCTGGGGATAGAAGGAGGCCTCAAGGAGCTCACATTCTAAAGGAGGTGGTAGCGTTCAGTTGTTTTCAGTTCTGACTCTTAGGGTTAGGCCCTTTTGGGGGGGTTTTCTTGGCAAAGACAGTGGAGTGGTTCGCCATTTCCTTCTCTAGCTCACTTGACAGATGAGGAAACTGAGGCAAACAGGGTTAGGTGCCTTGCCCGGGGTCACACAGCTAGGAAGTGTCTCAGGCCAGATTTGAACTCACGAGGAGGGGTCTTCCTGACTCCAGGCCCAGCGCCCTGCACACCATGCCTGCTGAGAACAGCACAGAAATCGTCAAGTCACACGGACGGGCCCAGCCATCCTTAGGGGTACAGCAGCAATTCTGATAATAGGGCGGTTAGCAGGGGGTGGTGAGGCGGCCCAGTGGACAGAGCATCGGACCTGGCAGGATCAGGAAGATCTGAGTTCAAATCCAGCCTTAGACACTTCCTGGCTGTGTGCCCCTGGGCCAGTCACTCACCCTCTGTCTGTTTCAGTTTCCTCGTGGGGATCATGACAGGGCCCGCCTTTCATGGTCGCTGTGCAGAATGCCCGGCATGTAGCAGGTGCTGCCTAAATGTCAGCTGTTACCATTGTCATCATCATTTTCCTTAATGCCACTTCCTTTGTACAAACCAGAGATCCCCAATGTGGAGCCGTGTGATGGGTCTGAGGCCTCTGGGGACACGCTTTGCCTTCACTGGGCCCTCTGCAGATGGGCAGGGTCAGCAGACTGGCCCCAGACGGGCGGCCGGAGCGGGGCTGGGGGTCCTGGGGCTCTTGGGCCTAGCTGCCCGCTGGGGCAGGTGGTTGGGTGGCCAGAATGTTGGGCCCTTCTCCGCCAGAGGTGAATTTTCCCTTCTCCAGGTGAAATATCCCTGTTTCCTCTCCTTGACTGTCATGTGGTCTGAACACGAGGCCCTTGGCCCCCTTTTGGCGTCTTCTGGACATCCTCCGGCCAGTCAGGCTCTGTCCTAGCCTGTGCTGTCTGAGGGAAGGGCTGGGAGGCCGTGCCTGCCCTCAGGGGACTTAGAGTCTAGAAGGGGGTGGTCCTAGGCCAGAAGGGTGGAGGGTCGGGCCTCTGTGAAGAGCTAGTAGGTGACAGGTGCGAGTGGGCCGGCCTTCCCTCCCCAGGCAGGGGCCCTCTGCTGCTGGCACCCAGGAAGCCAGAGATGGGTCATTTCCTATGGCCTTCAGCCTCAAACACAGACCCATTTCTGCGCTGAGAGCCAGCCAGACTGACCTACATCACTCCATCTCCTATTTCCTCTGGGGGACCTGGGTAGAGCGCCGGGCCTGGAGTCAGGAAGACCCAAATTCAAATCCAGCCTCGGGCCCTTACTAGCCGTGTGCCCTTATTTTGTCCTTTCCGTCATGTCCGACTCATTGTGGCCCCACGTGGGGTTTTCTTGGCAGAGATCTGGACTGGTCGGTCATTGCCTTCTCCAGCTCATCTTACAGATGAGGAAACTGAGGCAGACAGGGTGAAGTGACTTGCCCAGGGCCGCACAGCTGGGAAGTGTCTGAGGCTGGATTTGAACTCGGGAAGATGAGTCTTCTGACTCCAGGTCTGGGCACTCTATCTACTACGCCGCCGCCCTGGCCTTGGGCAGATGACTCCACCTTTGCCTCAGTTCCCTCAGTTGTAAAATAGAGATCACACCCCTGCCTCCCAGACGGCTGAGCATCAAGTGATATAATAATTGCACTTAGCCCAGGGCCTGGCACACAGTAGGCACTCAATAAATGCTTGTTCCTCTTTCCTTCCTTCCCTCGCCCCCGTCTTTGCCCTGGCCGTCCCCCATGCCCAGGATGCGTTCCACGGAGCCCCCTTTTCCTGGCGCTCCCCCTGTCCTCCCTTCCCATCCCCCTTGGTTCGTATGGATTCCCTGTATTTGGGGGCAGCTGGGCGGCTCAGCGTGTAGCGCTGGGCTTGGGGTCAGGAACACCCAGATTCAGATTCTGCCCTCGCTGCTTCCCGGCGCTGTGACTGTCAGCCTCCGTTTGCTTATCTGCAGAATGGGGCCAAGGACAGCAGGGATGTTGTGGGCCATCATCTTCAGCTTGTGTAGATGCCTCCAAGGTCTTTCTAGGGACCCTTCTTTGTCTTTGAGGCCCCAGGATTTAGCCCAGTGCCTGGCATACAGTAGGTGCTTAATAAATGCTGGCCTGATGGGTGGGCTGCCATCGTCACTGCCAGCCCCCGGTCTCCCTCAGTCTCCGGCGTATGGGGAGGCCTCGGTGTCCCCCATGTGCTTTCCAGAGACGTGGCTGGACTGGAGGTGTGAGGAGTTAGGCCAGGATCCCGGGGTTGGGGGTTCCAGAGCTGCCCCTCACTCTCTCTACCCCTTCTCCCCAGGGCACCTCCCACCAGTGGCCCATGGCCATCTTGTCCTTCCAGGACTTTGCGTACCATTTCCGAGTAGCCCTGCTGGTGAGTATCGGCCCCCTCCCCAAGCCCAGACACAAATAGGAGGGGGAGGGGGAGTTATCCAAACTCCAAGGCTCACAAGAGCCCCCCCGCATTTCAAAAAGGGCTTCAGCCAGGCCTTGGCAGACAGCAGGCACTTAATTGATACTCAAGCTGAATGTTGCTAAAATGGTGCCAGGGAATGGCGGGGCAGAAGGCCCGTAGTGCCGGCTGGGGGGCCAGCCCGGCCAGGAGGGAGCCGGGCGGTCTGCAAGAAGATGAGTTCAGCCCTGTCCCCCTGCCCTTCCTCCCCAGGGTCAGGCCAACTGCAGCTCGGAGGTGCCCACCCAGGCCGTCACAGACTATTTCTTCCACTTCTACCGCCTGTGTGACTGAGCTGGCCCCCGTGCCCTGAGGCGCCCCCAGCCCGAGGACCCCGGGGCCCCTCGAGGCAGCTTCTCCTTTCCCACACTGGATGTGACCGTGTTACACTGGAGCGGGGTGGGGGGGTGTGACCCTGCACCCGCCCCCACCCCTTGGGGCTGCTGTGCGCTCAGCCTGTCTCACACTGTAGGTTTCAGGGCACACACTGGAATTCCTGCTGCAGACTAAAGCTGGGCTGGAGAAACTGAACGTCCATACACTGGAGTTACTGTCCCTGAAGCCCATGTGACCCCGCTGCCATCCCAGAGAAGGGCCTAGTGCCCTCTGGCCTGCCCGCTGCCAGCAGACTTACCCAGGGGTGGATCAGTTCATGCTGGCAGTCTGGATGTGACCGTCAGGGGGGCCTCACTTTTCTGACCCTCCCCCCATCCCACCCCAGATGACCTGGCATTGGTCCAGAGTCCTTGCAGGACAGGGCTGGGGTCAGGACATTATCGGGGTTCCCCTGTTACATCTAGGGCAGATGACCGAGCTTTAAGCCTGAAAGGGGTTTCTTGGCTGTCAGGAAGCCTGGCCTTCCGGAGCTGAACCCCAGGATGGGTCACCCCAGGACGAGCTGCTTTCACCCCCTCGTCCTTCCCGCCAGGTGTTAAGCAGCGAGAGTTAAGGTCGAGAGGGGGAGGAAGAGGAGGGAGCGTGCCTGGGAATCCTCCAGTTGGACGTGAGGACTTGACCTGGCCATATCTGAGCCCACTCGTTGGTCACTGCTGTGGTCCGGCGAGTTTCTGTGTAGCAGATGAGGAGGGTGGGATGGGGGAGCGGGAAGGACGGCTGCAGCCCTGGGGTGCAGTTACCTGTTCGTTCTGTTAACGCTGTTGGGAGCTGATTTCTCAAATGCACCTGGACTAGGGCAGACCTGGGCGTGAGAAAGCAGGAAGACCCCCCAGGGCCCTGTGTCCATCAGGGCCATGTGTCCCAAGCTCTGCCCGGCCTAAAGCCTTTCACTGCCAAAGCTGTCCTCAGCCCCCTGCCCTCGGGACCCTTCTCTCCCCCGAGCTACTGGCCATCTTGCCCAAGATCCCCAAGGCCAGAGGTGGGGGGCACGTGGCTGCTACAATGCTTCCCTCCATACTGGGAGGGGCCCCCACTGCCCTTATTGTAAACAGGAGGGAAAGGAACACAGCACCCCGTTCTCCTTCCCGGGCTCCTGGGCCACTGGGTCGGGGTCTGGCCTTGGCCCCTCCTCCAAATGCCTCACACTCGGTTACCTGGAGGATTTCGCAGCAGGTGATGTTTCTCAAGAATGCCTTTGCGCTTAGGGATCTCAAAGCGCTTAGCCCAGGGGTGGGTGAAGTTTGGGGGCATGTGAGGGAGGCAGGTATCAGCAAGGACTTCTAGTCCCCAGGGGCCAGGCTAGTGTCTCCTGGCATAGGATTGAAGTTACCCTCCCTGTAGGAAATCACCTGCCTTCCCTCCGTCCCTCTTATTGGGGGGCAGCCCTGTTTGGTGCCTTAAAACCATTTCCCTAGTGCTAAGAATTTCCCATCCTGCATCGGGAGGGGTCTCTCCTCTGCCCCCCAGGAGGGAGATGCTGCTTTGCCTCGGTCAGCAGCAGGCTCTGGGGTGGGTGTGGGGGGACGACCCAGGCCTGGGGCACAGAGGAAGTCCCGAGGGGGTGTTAATTTTGGACCAAAGTTGCCTTATTCCCAAGGGGGGAGAGCCCCCTATTCTGGTGCTGGTAGGCCCAGAAGAACCCCACCCTTGCCAGCCATGGGCATCAGAAGCCAGCCTGACACCCGCATCTTGTTTCTTTAGCTACTTCCCCATCCCCCCACCCTGCTGTAAATAGGACCCCTCGGCACTAACTGTCTGCTTGCTCTCACCCCCCCACCCCCGCAGGCCTCCGGCCATGCCCACCTGGCCCGTGTTAACCGTCCTGTGCCCACACCCTCCCCTCGTTCGCTTCATATTTATATTGTGCTAAGTCTGACGGTGGGACGGGAGTGCCCCCTCTCACTCGGTTTCTGTTGGCTTCCCCAGCTAGACCGTCCTTTTTTCCGGAGGCAGATATACATATATAAATAAATCTATAAATACTGCTTTGTATCCAAGCTTGCGCCTCAGCTCTTCGTGAAGCCCACTGGGTGACCCCTCCTCATCTGCCTTGCCAGAGATTATCATCTCATCCAGTAGAGCCCCAGGGGAGGAGAGGCCTTGTTCCTGGTGGGTCAGGGCTGGAACTCAATCCAATCAACCAGACATCTATTAAATAAATACTTGTTACCCATTAGGTAAGGGATAGAGATGGCAATGAAGAGGAAAGACCCCGCCTTTGCGGATCCTCTAGTCTGTGGGGAGTGGGAGGGTAGTCAGTATAATAGAAGGTCACGGGACCCCCCCCCCAAAGTGCTGCGGGAAGACATGAAGAGGGCCCACCTGCAGCCGGGCATTGTCCAGCTGACCTTAAAATGCGACCCTGTGATTTCAAGAGTCCCAGGTCAGGTAGAAAGGACCACACAGCCCGGCATCCGAGGGACAGTCCCCGATCCGTGGCCACTGAGCTGCTTTCTGAAGACCCCCAGCAAGGCCCTCCAAGGGCAGCCCGTTCTTCCGCATCATTTTTGTGACCCTGCCCTTTCTAGCCTCTCTTCCTGGGGGCTGTCCTTCAGATACTCCCCCAGTCTCTTCTGTGGACTGGACCGATGACATCATCTCCAGCTCCTTCAGACGACTCCGGCATGAGGCTGAGGCCTTTCCCAAAAGTGGCTGCCCTCCTCTGGGCACTGTACAGATTATCAAGGTCCTTCCTCAGAAGTGGTGCCGACAACTGAAGCCAGGTGTGAGTGGTCTAACTAGGGCACAGAATATCATCAAACAGAGGGTCCTTTGGGGGCTGTCACATGGCAGCCTCACACAGAGCAAGGAGGAAGTTCATTCCAGGCACAGGCCTAAGCCACAGAATGCATGGAGAGGCAGTAGGATACGGGGAAGGGGGGAGAAGTCCAGTTTAGCTGAAACACAGGGTGGGCAAAGGAGAACAGTGTAAATGAAGTAAGCCTGGGAAGGCAGGTCACAGCAGCATCCCTAGGCTAAAAAGGATTTATCCTGGGGGCAGCAGGGAGCCATGGAAGGTTCTTGAGCAAGAGACGTGTGGTCGGATGAGTGTGTTAGGGGTGACATGACAGACTAGAGAAGGTAAGGCTGCAGGCCGGCAGACCTGGGGGACAATTACAACTGCCTGGGTGGGAGGTGATGTGGGCCATACCCAGGGTGGTAGCCTCATGAATGAAGAGGAGCAGGGTGCGAATCGAGATTTTAGTCACTGACTGTATGAGGGTCAAAGAGGTGAAGGAGCGAGGAACACTCAGGCCTCAAACCCAAGTGACCTGCAGGCAGAAATGGGGACTTCGGCAGAGCAGGAGCTTAGCAGGGATGATGAATTCTGCACCTGCCAGGGAGACGTCAGTAGCCTACGGAGGCGATAATGGAACCCGACACGGACAATTGGTTTATCCACGTCCTTAACCGTGGCGCCCCCTCGTGGTCCAACCGAGGCAGGCATGTAAATGGGACGATTCCCTCTGTAGGCTGCACTCTTGGACCCCTAGACCCTCAATGCAGCCCCAGGCCTGATGCCATACCAGGCTGCTGACTCCTGGGCTTCAAACGCACCACAACACCCAGAGCTTTTCAAACTGTGCCCCCCAACCCAGCCCCGCCAAGCCTGTGAAGCCCACTTTCTGAAGCAGACTGACCCCTCTCGATACTGTCTTTGGGGAGCTGCCCCCGGGGCCTGGACGAGGGGGTCCCTGAATTTTTTTTTTAATTTTTTATTAATTTATTATATCAACAATCACTTCCATAAGCTTTTGAATTTAAAATTTTTCTCCCCTCCCTCCCCAAGACAGCGGGCAATCTAATACAGGCTCTCCATATACATTCCTATTAAACGTTTTCACATTAGTCAGGATGTAAGGAAGAATTAGAGGAGCCACAAGAAAGAGGAAACCAAACCGAAGAAAAAAAACAGCAAATGGTCTGCTTCGATCTGTATTCAAACTCCACAGTTTTCTTTGGATGTGGAGAGCATTTCCCGGACTTATTTTTAAAAAAATTTCGATCCCTGCATCTCCTGACATTTGATTCCCTTTCTCATTCTCGGTAGTCCGTGTTTTGTTGTATGCCTGTCACCTGACTCTGAGCAGGGTCCCTGGGCTTCCCCAGACTTCCTGCCCAAGGGTTCCTGGATTCACAAACATTATTATTACAGCTAACATTTACATAGCGCCTACTAAGTGCTTTCTAATGATCTCACAACAGCCTGGGAAGAAGTGCTATCATCATCCCCATTTTGCAGTAGAGGAAACTGAAGCAAACTGATGCAATGACCTGCCCAGGGCCACACAGCTAGATAAAGCCCTGGGCTAGGCTATGCAGTCGTCTGCATGCCACCTTCGTCTCCTCTCCATCTGATAAGTCTCTAACTGTGCTGTCCTCCAACCCTGGGCACCCCCTCCTTCACGGCGCCTCCTCAGAGCAGAATCCCCGAGCACTCTTCGGGTCTGGTCATCTAACTAAGCGCGATGGCGCCCAACAATCCCTTCGCCCAGGCTGAGTCTCTGTCCTGGCTAGAAGAGCAAGACAGATGTGGCCCATGACTGACATAAATGGGTCTGATGGCGCTGCCACTGCTGCCAGCCTAGTGACCCCTTCTCGTAGGCTGGCCTGAGCTGGCCCTGCCAGCACCAGGGGCTCTGTGTGGTCACGCTCACTAACCACCTCTTTCCTGTGACAATCTGGAACAAGAGCTTACCACATCCTTCTTCAGTTTAGGCCAATGGTCCGCCTGTCTGCAGTCCCCCAGGGCATGCTGTATCCCCACAGGGGGCAGAGGCACCCGGGGGGGAGGTCCCCCTCCTGTTTTGTACTTGCTGTGGGCACATGGGTAACTGGGGTGGCAATGCCATCATTCACCGGGCTACCAGCCCTCTGGGGGTTCGACAGGGGCTTCCCCACAAGCACGGAGATCTGGCCAGCCTTGCTTTATTTACAAAGGCAAACACGCCTCCGTTTATTAGAAGTCAGTGGAAATGTGTGTTTAGCAACAGTACAAAAATTGTCAGGGAAACAAAAGGCAGGACACCAGTGATTTCATGCAGACAGAACCTGAAAGGAAAAGAAGCCAATGAGTAAGACCCCAGGCCTTTCCGTTCCCTTCTATTCCTCATCCCGCGCCCCGCCCCCCGGAGCCCTCCAGCATCCTGACTAGAGCCGAGGTCCCTGGATGTAGGATCTGCCCCCGGCCCCCTTCGGGCCAGCTGTGGGAGAAATGACTTGTGCTAAGTCCTGGAGCCCACAGAAACCGGGACACAGGTGACCAGTGCTGACCAGAGTCCCTGTCGGGGCCAAGGAGAAAACTCAGGTGTGCTTCACGCCTGGCCCACCACCCTCCCTGGAGTCAGCTCATCGCAGGGTCAGAGATTTAAAGGCCACAGAATCCAAACCCTCCTGTTTTTACATCTGGGGAAACCAAGGCACAGTCTGAGCAAACACAAGAGTGGGGAGCGCTCTTACCATAAGCCCCTCACACATATATGCCGACCCAGAGCAGCAGGAAGAGGACCCCGAAGCCCATGAAGAGCGAGGCCACGAGGGAGATGAGCAGCTCCTTGTAGATATCACGGGTGTACTTGGTGGAGGTGACCTCATAGCTGGGCGGCTGTTAAGGAGGCTCCGACTCTGGGGGCAGCGAGGAGGGCAGGCTCCCCTCCCCCGCAGCCCTCCCTCTGCTCCTCCCCCGCCCCCCCCCCCCCCCCCCGCCCCGGGCAGGATACACGAAGAACCAGGCCGTGAAGAACATGCCGATGGCCAGCAGCACCACGGTGAGATGCGGGAACACGGCCGGGTTCACCGGACTCGTGTATCTGCTCATGGCCTCCAGCTCCTGGGGAAACAGCGCTGATTAGGCGCTTACTGCATACCGACCCCCGAAAGCTTGTGGTGTCACGTGTCACGGGCTCCTGCCGGGCCCGGGGTGGGCCCGGGCCCCCCGAGGCCCCGAGGACGGTGGCCGAGCAATGCTGGCGCGGAGAATAAACATCTAGGGGGCGCCTACTGTTTGCAAAGTCGTCCTCTCCTGGGAGCTCGACCACGGCCCTGGGAAGCAGCTGTGACGGTTGTCACCCGCGTTCTACAGATGGGGAAACTGAGGCTCGGAGGGAGCGAGGGTCTTGCCGGGCAGAGCAGCTGTAGGGGCTTGTGGGGAGGGCCGCTCCCCAGGGCTGGAGCGGGGAAGTTCTGAGTTCAAGCCGGCCTAAGGCACTCCCTAGCTGGGTGACCCCGGACGCGTCTGCCTCAGTTTCCCCATCTGTGAAATGGGGACCCTAACAATGCCAGCCGGGGGGGGGGCGGGGCGGGGAATCTCGGAAGCCGCGGTTAAAGAACGGTGAGGAATCCAATCCCTCGTTTTCCGAGGTGGGGAAACTGAGGCACAGAGAAGCCAAGCGACGTCACCCGACGCTTGGCAGGCCTCAGTTTCCCGGCCTGTAAAGCGCGGACCGGGCGGGCTGCAGGCGGCGGCTGCGCCCTCCACCCGCAGCTGGACCGGGGTCTCCCCGCGTCCCTTCCCGCGGCCCCTCTCACCATCCCGTCGGCAGCCGGGGTCTCCGCCGGGACTCCAGGACCGGAAGGCCACGTCTGCCGAGGCAGGAACTGCTCCGCCGGAAACGGGAGCGGAAGCGGAAGAGGCTCCTGTGCCGGCGCCCGCGCGGAGCATCACGGGCCTCGTAGTCCAACGGGCCCGCCCCCCGGAGCGAGGCATCACCAGCCTGGACTACCAGTCCCGGCATGCCGCGCGCGGCGGGAGGGCCACGTGACGGGAGCGCGGGCTTTGGAAGGCGCCGGCGGCCGCCGTCTCGGAGCTGAGGAGGGGTGAGAGCGCGCGCGCAGCCCCGCGACCCTAACGGACGTCTCGGTGAGTGACCGCAGCGCGCGGGGTGGGGGGGGGATACTGAGGCCGCGGGAGGGGGGACGAGTGCCCCGTGGGGCCCCCCATCTCCTGCACAAGTGAAAGCCTCCCCTCCCCCTCTTGGTACAAATGAGAGGGGACCCTGGAAGCAAGCAAGCATTTATTAAGCACCTGCTGTGTGCTGGCCCGTGGGCCCTAGGGAAGGGAATAGGCATTTATTGAGCGCCTACCACGTCCCAGGATCGGGTGACCCCTCCAACCGCCCCGGAGGTGAGTTTTGTTAGGGCCCCCATTTTACGGAGGAGCAAACTGAGGCAGGCGGCCGGGCGAGGCCGTGTCTGGGCCCGTTAGGAACTGCTACCCGCGGGTTGGGCTCCCGCCCCCCTCTTGGGACAAGTGGGGGAAATGAGGCAGGGGGACGAAGGGGCAGGGGCGTGCCAGGCCCCGGTGTGAGGAGGTCAGGGGGACCAGCCTGGCCCCGGGGGGGGGCGGCCGACATCGGGTTCGAATCCAGCCTCAGGCACTTAGTAGTGGGGTGACCCTGGGCAAGTCACTTCGCTGCTGCCAGCCTCAGTTTCCTCGTCTGTAAAACGGGGATGAAAACCGCACTGACTTCCCAGGAGCAAACAAGACGGCCAGGTATGCAGCAGGCGCTGTATAAATGCTGTGTGTGCGAGGCAGGCTGGAGCGACTCCAAGGAAAGGGGGGAGCCCCAGGAGCAGGAAGGAGGCGGGGGACAAACAGCTGGGGGGGGAAGCTGCCCCGGGGGGGGAGGGGGGAGACGTCGGAGGGCAGTGGGCCCCTCTGGACCCGGGATTCTCTTCTGACGGCAGGCAGCCCACCCTCTACAGGTGGGACCCTGAAGAACAGGAAGAAGGAAGGAGGGAAGGAAAGAAGGGCGGATTTATTAATGAGGCGCCCAGTGTGTGCTGAATGAGGGAGGGAAGGGCACGGCCCCGCCCCCCACCAGCCCTTGTGTGCGCACACACACGCACACACCACAGATACACAGACACACCACACACATGCACGCGCATGCACACGCATGCACACACCACACACACACACACACACACACCCCCCAAAGCTCCTTTCCTCCTTCTCTCAGGTTAGGAAACCCACGTGAGTCTTTTCCACGCCAGCCCCTTCCTCTTGTCTCTCCCGGGAGGGGGCCAGAGGCTCCCCGTGGGCCGGCCCTGTTCCCTCCTCTGCTTTGTGAATGTTCCTTGGGGGCGTCCGCTGCCCTCCCTCTGTTTTCCTGTTTGGCCTCCTTGGACGCTCCATAAAAATTTCAGGTGCTCAGGAGGTGTTTGTCCTTGAAACGGGGGCCCGCGGAAAGCTTTTCTCTGGCTGGTTGGGGGCACACGGGGTGTGCTGGGAAATGCCAGGCAGCGCACTGGCCTGAGGGCCCCCCCCCGCAGCTGGCCGCCTTTGAGCTCAGCGCTGCAGTTTGATGAGAAAATGCGAAAGCCAGTGTTAGCTCCCTGAGTCGGCTGAAAACTGAACAGTCGTCTCTGGTTGGAGCCGGCTCCGGCCCCCCCTCGGATCTAATCCGTAAGAGAGTTTTAAAACTTAGAAACCGATCTATTGTCGTTCAGTCGGTTTCAGGCGTGTGTGACTCTCCGTGACCCCATCTGGGATTCTCCTGGCAGAGAGACCGGAGCAGTTTGTCATTTCCTTCTCCAGCTAATCTTACAGATGAGGACACCGAGGCAGACAGGGTGAAGTGACTTGCCCAGGGTCACACAGCTAGCGAGTGTCTCAGGCCAGATTTGAACTCGCGAAGAGGAGTCTTCCTGACTCCAGGCACGGCGCTCCATGCGCTGTGGCGCCCCCTGGCCGGCCTAGGAACACATAGATACGTACAGATGAGTAGAGCGGAGGCTCTGTGCGTCAATGGCTAGGTCCTGCCGAGGAGAGAGTAAGATCTGGGCGCTCTTAGGAAAGCAGAGGGTCGGCGAAGCTTTGCGGAGGCCGCCTGTGGGGCTGAGGGCGCGTCCCCGGGGCGGGAAAGGCGAGAACGGGCCGGGAGTCTGTCCTGACCGCCCTCTCTCCCTCGCGTAGGTGCCCCCGACCGGCCATGGGGATCCACGGCCTGGCCAAGCTGATCGCCGACGTGGCGCCCGGCGCCATCCGGGAGAACGACATCAAGAGCTACTTTGGGCGGAAGGTGGCCGTGGACGCTTCCATGAGCATCTACCAGTTCCTGATCGCCGTGCGGCAGGGCGGTGACGTGCTCCAGAACGAGGAGGGCGAGGCCACCAGCCACCTGGTGGGCATGTTCTACCGCACCATCCGCATGGTGGAGAACGGCATCAAGCCCGTGTACGTCTTCGACGGCAAGCCGCCCCAGCTGAAGTCGGGCGAGCTGGCCAGGCGCGGCGAGCGGAGGGCCGAGGCCGAGAGGCAGCTGCAGCGGGCGCAGGAGGCGGGCGCCGAGCAGGAGGCGGAGAAGTTCGCCAAGCGGCTGGTGAAGGTCACCGAGCGGCACGGCGAGGAGTGCAGGCGGCTGCTGCGCCTCATGGGCATCCCCTACCTGGAGGCGCCCGGCGAGGCCGAGGCCAGCTGCGCCGCCCTGGTGAAGGCCGGCAAGGTCTACGCCGCCGCCACCGAGGACATGGACTGCCTGACCTTCGGCAGCCCCGTGCTCATGCGGCACCTGACCGCCAGCGAGGCCAAGAAGCTGCCCATCCAGGAGTTCCGCCTCGGCCGCGTGCTGCAGGAGCTGGGCCTCACCCAGGAGCAGTTTGTGGACCTGTGCATCCTGCTGGGCAGCGACTACTGCGAGAGCATCCGCGGCATCGGGCCCAAGCGCGCCGTGGACCTCATCCGGCAGCACAAGAGCATCGAGGAGATCGTGCGGCGGCTGGACCCCAGCAAGTACCCGGTGCCCGACGACTGGCCGCACAAGGAGGCCCAGCGCCTCTTCCTGGAGCCCGACGTGCTGGACCCCGACGCCGTGGAGCTCCGCTGGGGCGAGCCCGACGAGGAGGGCCTGGTCCGGTTCATGTGCGGCGAGAAGCAGTTCAACGAGGAGCGCGTCCGCGGCGGGGTCAGGCGGCTGAGCAAGAGCCGCCGGGGCAGCACGCAGGGCCGGCTGGACGACTTCTTCAAGGTCACGGGCTGTCTCACGTCGGCCAAGCGCAAGGGGCCGGAGCCCAAGGGGGCTGTCAAGAAGAAAGCGAAGCTCAAGAAGGGGAAATAAAGCCCTGCTCTCCTCCTCCTTTGGGGGTCTCGTGGTGGGGGCTGGGGGCGCCGTTTCCTCCGCCGAGGTGCGGGTGTCTGTCTGGGGGTGGGGGGAGGAGGCAGCCAGGGCCGGCTCTCCGGCTCCTGGCCCTAGCTTGGCATTGGGCCTGATGCCAGGCACTCAGGCCTACCCAGGGGATTCGAAAGTGCCCCCATCCCTGGAAATGTGGGAGGCGGCAGAAACCTCCATATTTGTATTTGTTCTTGTTCTCCTGGCCCGAGAATCCCCCCCCCCCAACCCGGGTCCTCGGGACAAGATGGTTTTCATGTCTGCTTAAGCTTCTTAGAAAAAGTTAATAAAATTGTCAGATGGTACAAGGGACGTCTTTGAAAGCCTTTCAGCAAGCCTGGCCGGGGTTAGCGAGGGATGCTGAGGAGTGGCCACGAGGTGGCGCCATCCCCTATGAAACAGCCCCGGCGGCCCCTCCCTCGTGCCTGAAGGCCTTGAGAGAACGTCTGCCCTGGCCTGCTGGGAATTGGGGGGTGGGGGGAGGGGATGTCTCGTGGGTCTAGTTATTTTTCTAGCCCCAGTTTGACCAAGGAATTAAGAAAGTTGTCACATCCCTGATTTTTGTACTCAACCTAAGGTGGGAGCAGAGGTTATGATTTCTGTCCTTTCTCTGAAGGGGGCTGAGATCTTGCCTTCCAAGGGGGTAACCCCCTGTAAATAAAGCCCAGGTTTTATCCTAGGAGAAAGCAAACCAGCCTTACCAGTCCTCGGCCACCAGGGTGTTAAATTGGGGGGGGGGGAGGCGGCCTCCCAGATTCTGTTCCTAAACCGTGTGTGGCTGTGGGGGTGGCGTCACATTCGAGCTGATTTTAGGCCTGGGATTTAGGCAGTTTGGTACTTGTGAGGCAGGGTGGCATGATTAAGCTGGGGGTGGGGCAGCGATGACTTGCCCGAGCCTCACCCAGTTTTCAGCATTCACATCACATTTGTGGTGTGCCTGGGAGATGTCCGGGGGCCATTGGCAGCTGGCAGAGAAAGGCCTGCCTGTGAAGGATTAAATCCGACTGGGTGGCAGAAGCCAGTGAACCCCAAGCAGGTCCCCAGGACATGGAGAGGCCTGTGTAGCCTCGGAGGATAGACCGGGCATCGCAGATGATTCTGGGGAGTCTTCCCACTCCCTGGGGCAGGCATTTTGATGGTGAAGGGGGTGCTACAGAGCAGTGACCTTTGTGGGCAGTTGTGTTGGTGGGCGCCTTGTTCTCAGGCTGCCTCTGCCTAGCATTTGATGAGGGAACAAACTTCAGAACAGTGTGGTGCAGACAGAGCTAAGTGTTCACCGGGCAGCCGGGGGGAGCCTGCTTGGCAGCCAGGCCTGAGAGTTTTATGCATTCCAAGTAGCATTAAGCTTAGTAAGGCTAAGAAGGCTCAAGTTTCCCGTTCAGGCTGGAAAATCTTAAAAGCCAACCCAAAATTAGAGGGCACAAGGAAGCCTGGCTGGGAGTACAAGGACAGAGTGGGGGTGGGGGAGCCTGAGGGGGAGGGAAAAGGAGGTCAAGGAGAACTTGGAGAACAGCTGAAGAATTCCCGGGTGACTGGCCACTTCCCACCCTCCGGCCCCCGCTTGTCACGGGCCACTGCTGCTGCCCAGAACTTGGCGCGTTCAGAGACGTCAGGAGCAGGGTGCTCACGGAAGAACTTGGACTCCAAAGACATTAGTTTTATTCATCAGCATGAGGTCCATCCTTGATTTTTTACAGCAACATAATGGGCACAGACACTGAACGTGACTGAACAGACGCTGCCACCTCATGGGATCTGGGGAGACGGGTCATTCCTCTGGCCACTATTTAGTGACCCTGGGGCCAGGCTGAGAAGAGGGAAGGCCACAGTGTTTAAGAGTATTCTAGGCAGGGTGACACGAGATGCCCCGCAGATTCGGGGGTCCCCAGGCTGAATCATGTGCCCCTTCTCCGGCTAGAACGGTAGCACCAAAACCACAGAGGCAGAGGGTGGTGGGAAGAGAGAACTGACCGATTAGCACCTGGGTCCTGGCATGAGAAAGCTGGGGAGTTGGGGAGGAGGGAGCTGCAGACTGGAACAAGACCAGACTGGACCGCAGAGTCCTCTGGCAGGGCCAGTTGAAGGATATCTGATTTGAAAAATACACATTCCCCTCTGACTCTACACCTCACATTCGAGTTGTCACGTGACCTCATAAATCTACTCTTCGATCGTCCAACCAATCAGTCGTCAGCAAGCCCTTAGTAGGCACTCACTACGTACCTATCACAATAACATCTTGTAAGCCAGATGGTCTACTCCACATCTCCCTAATTATCCAAGCTGTGCCCTGGCTTCACTCCCTCCAAGATGGTTTCAGGCTCTCTTCATCCTACTTAACTGTTCTCCGTCTGAAGGGAACCAGCTCTGTAAATACAGCCAGGTTTCAGAGTCCTTCCCCACAATCTACCAGATGACCAGAAGGGGTGGGGAGGAGGGATCAAGGCCCTCAAACTGTTCTGGACCTGAGGAAGATGAGAGGACCAGCTCAGCTCCCCAAATGGCCAACCCGTCTAGCGAGGAGGCATTTCCGGAGGTTTTTTGTGCATCTTTCTCCACGAGATGGGATAAGCACATCTCCTGTGGCTTTCATCATCCTCCCTCTGGCTGAGAGCAGTGCATTAATCCTATGTTCAACAAAGCTTAAGGTAATTGAGGTTTACAGCAGGACCCAACTACCAATGAGTGAGTCCCTTTAATGTTTCCCTTGTGGGAGCTTGGCAGATGCCTTCCTGTCCTCCATCCTGGCTGGCTGCAGTTACATTACTTAGAATTTTTAGGTGGGGAGATAAGGGGAAACTTGGGAGCCCCATTTGTTGACGGAAAGGGGAGGAAGGAAAGGCCTGCCTTCCCATGTCTTCACTTTGCCATGGAACACCATGGAGGGCTAGAAGAACTCCTGGCTGTGCCTCTCCTGAAGTTCTTTTCTGTAGGTGAAGATAGGAAAAGGTACGGAGGGAAAATGAGGGGTTTTCAACGCATGGAATGCGTTTCTAATGAGCCACACACAGCATTGTATATCAAATGTGAAATGCATATATTGGCCACAGCTAGAGCCCAGTTCTCTTTGCACGCCCTGGAGGGGGAAGGAGGCAGACGAGGCTGAGCTGGAAGTGTCTCCTATTCCCCAAACCCTCCCCAGAGATGCGGCCCCTCCTGGAGGCTGCCCATCTATTCTGGGCCCGTGCCTTGGAGCACATCCCTAAGCAACAAGTTAGGTCTAGCTAAAGAAAGCTGAAGAATTCTAGGTGTGAAGGGAGAATTCTTGAGTTCTCCTCTTAAATCTTCATCTCCAAGGGCTCAGACTGCCACTCTGTGTTGCTAGTGTGCCAATCATTGTGGGATGAGGTATGTGAGGGGAGGAGGGCGGGGCCTAGGAGCTCAGCTCCTACGGGCCCTGGGGAAACAATGGCCAGCCCCCATTACTGAAAGAGAAGGACCCGGCTTGGCCTCTCCCTCCTCCCCTCCGCCTTTGGGGGTATGATTTAGGTGTGGGGCCTCAAGCGGTTAAGTATTTTGCTAAATCTTGACTTTCTGAGTTCCAAAAGTTCATGTTTCTTGGTACTCAGCTTAGTGCCTGCCAACCTAGAAAGAGAGGATCCAGCAGTCCCTGCCCACCTAATGGCTTCTCCCGACTGTGGAGCCATCCCCCTCCCCATCTTCCCAGCCCCCACTGGAAATTCAGATTGAAGTGGCATAGTCCCTCATCATTGCCCCTGCTTCCAGCACCAAGATCTTCTCCTCTTCCTCCTCCTGCTCCAGAGAGTGCTGCTTTACTTTTGAAGGTAGGCGTCCAGCCAGAGCTGCCCAGACTCCTTCAGTGAGCTGCGGAGGCAGAGAAGAGAGGATGAGGGGATCCCCCCATCCCAAAGGGGATCTCGGCACCGAGTCGAACCAGGTGCTCTTCAAAGATCATTTCCAACAGTAAGATGCTCTCTCTGCTCCCCCCGGCTCTGGGGAAGCAGCAGTCTGACCGGCTGTGGGCTGGCCCTGGCAGGAAGAGCTTGAAGGCAGCCTGGGAGTTTGCTCTCTCTGGGCCTTCATGTGCCCCGAATGCTGTCCCTTAACGTCCCCCTCTTGGAATCACTGGCCGCCTTCAAAGCTCAGCTCCGACCCGGGGCACTTTGTATATGCTTAGTGGGGTGGTCTCTCCTAGAGTGTAAGCTTCTTGCTGACAGGGCCTGTTTCGTTTAGGTCTGGCCCTTGTGGGCATTCGAGAGATGACCTTCCAGCTGACTGACTAAGTGCTTACAGTGTGCAAAGAACTGTTCTGGATGGTGGGGACACAAAGGTGAAACTTTCGTCTAACAGGAGAGAGAGAACACGTCCGCACCTAAGATGGGCAGAAAGCAGAACGTGAGAGGGCCCGGGACGAGAAAGTAGGCAGAGAAACTATCCTGACTGGCCGGAAGGGGGCTTCCACAGAGGGAGAGGAGAAGGCTGAGTGAGGTCCCGAGGTGGTGCCCAGGAAGATGCCGTGGGTGGCATCAGCGAGGATGTAGCCCGGGGAAAAGAGACCCAGGCCAGGCAGAATGTCGTGCCCACGAGGCCACAGCAGAGCCCCTCGCTTCCAAAGGGCCACCTCCAGGCCCCTCCCTCGCCTCCCTTCTCAGGACCAGTACTCACTGCACAATGTCGGCAAAGGCGGAGAGCAGAGGCTTGGACTGGTACTCGACACCATGTTTGGCGCACAGGGATCTCACCAGGGGGGCCACTTTGTGGTAATTGTGTCTCGGCATGGTGGGGAAAAGACTGAAGGGGAGAGCAAGCGAGACATTTAGCAGGATTCTTCTCTCTGAGCAGAAATGTGGGAAGGCTTGCATTTGAGGACAAGCCCCCTTCCCCCTGTGGGGCTCAGCTTTCTTATCTGTAAAATAAGGGGGGCTGGCCCATGTGACCTCAATCCCCATGCTGCCCTGGCCCTTGTACCTCTGTGCCCCAGCCCCAGGTCCTGCTGGGGCCTCGTCT